TATCATACGATATAAGATTTAATGTTCTTGAAATGACAAACCATTTGCCGAGGTGGAGAGGTGCCGTTAAGATATGATTTTCCTTTACAGTGAGATGCTATTTTGAAAAATCTTCCTCGTTAATAGGGTAGATGACTAATTTTTATTTTAATGTCCGTCTGGTAGATTATTTAAAAACATTAGACACGTATTTTTTACTTTCTTACAGAAACGAATAGTTTCGACGATATTTTGATTTATACTAATGAATGACGTAGCTAACTCACACTCCTAAACTTTGATTCGTTTTATCTAAGTATTGTTTTCTTATACGACAAAATAAAAAATACGTGTCTAATATTTTTTCATTACCTAACTGACGGACTAATTAGATTTTTAATGTTCATACCCCTATCAATCCCCTATTGTACGAAAATCTGTTTAGCTATTTTAATTTTCTTACACGCGACACTGCAGGATTAAAAAGCAGGAGAATTATAAAGTGGAAAATCAATAATGGAAAACTTTTACAATAAGTGATAAGATAATCTATAAGAGCATGGAATATTGAAGTATATTTACGAAGGGAATAATTATAGTACTAGAGTTAACTCACCAATGAATTATGATTTTGATGAATGGCAAAATGCACAATAATAAAGAATAAAATCAAGCAAATTGGTTTATGGACTTATATCAAAAACAAATAAAGTTCAAATTAAAAAAAAAACCTGACAAAAACGAGCATGAGGACTACTACTACCTACTAAAACGCAACCAACAAGACATTGTAATGAATTTTATTAATTTTATAGTAATACATACCTCTAGCAACTTTGGTATAATAATTCTGCAAGCTAACACTGATATTACTGGAATTATTGAGACTCTTGTCATCCGTGATCCATTCCACTGACATTGTGGCTTCGGAACTATATACGTAACTCTGCGGTGTCAATGCAAACTCTGTCACATTTAATAAGGTGTCCTGTAATTTAAAACAAACTTTGGTTGTAAAAATTATCAGTATCAATGTATGTAATTTAGTTTTTTAAATAATAAGTGTATGTTTTTATTTACATAAAACAATTGAATCTTTCTTATCAGGAGGAAATAATTGTAATTATTTTATTGAGAACTTTTTACTGTGTTGGAAATCATTTGCAATTAGTTTGAAAACACGTTCAACCAGTCATCTTTTGAAGTCTTCACGTGACAATTTATAACACAATATATTGAATTTTACATCACATTCGTATCAATAAAACAAATTGTATGTAAACTGCAATAATACTTACAAGGGGTACACAAAGTTTCTCTTCGCCTAATGGTACGTACTGAGTGATGCACGATCCCACTACTGGACTGGTGTCGGACAACATGAACACAGTGTTAGCATCCCAACTATCGACTGTTGTTTTCTTCATCATTGAACTTTGTAGGGCTAAGGACTAGAACAATGAAATATTTTATTTTGACTATACTCAATGTAAATTGATATTTATTAAAATTAGGAGCACTAAATTATGATAGTCTACTTGACAGGGTTCATCTATTTTACGTTTCCAATAACTTATACTGCCATGAGAGTAACACGAGAGTGCCAGATTCTTACTGAGTAAATTTACCCCATTCCTGCTCCTACTTTGAACTGGATATTCGGTACCTGTTAGATTTACCGCAGCTCCGGATATGTGACTGTACTTACATTGAGAAATTGTAACAAAGAACTTGAATTTGGCTGAGATAATACACACATTTCCAAAACGATGGTTGTATTATTATGCAGTGCAATCATAAGCTAATTTGTCCGTAATTCAGAGAATGATGTAGTGTAATAAGGTAACAGTAAAAGAATTTCTTAATAGTGTAAGTTGTGATATTATAATTTAAATTAATTCAAATGTTATGATTAGTTGCAATGACATGTCAAGTAAAATTAATATCATAATAGATAATTAATCTATTCATTTCCAAAATGTACTAGCACATTTCTAGAATTTTCTGTCAGTCAGCAATTTATAAACATGCAGAAATTATGCATAATTTGTTCATTTGAAATTTCTTTTCAATAAAAGAAAAAGAAATGGTTATTTGTAAAAGAAATATCCATTTAGAGACTGACAATGTCAATATGTTAACTAACATACTGATTTTAGAACAGTACAATTTTATTACAACACTAGCTTTTACCCACAGCTTTGCCTGCAAATTTCTGTTTTATCCCATGCAAGCATTTAATCAGGATAAAAAGTATCCTATCACTAAGTCAGGCTATGAGTTTGCTTAATATTGTTATTTATTATTAGTTTTCCTTCTTTCTTTTCTAGATAAGTATGTATTATTAAATGATGACTAAAGTCAAATGAGTAGGTAGTTAAATAAGTACTTAAATTGGGTCCTTACACTGATAGTTTGTCTGAGTTTGTAGCTAACATCCTCAGCCAAATTGGTGATGGCCTCAGTACTGACTTCATGGCCAGCCTGCTCCGCCATACAAACAACCGACTCAGGGCTGATACCCGCAAACCTTCCTTGGGATGTGTTTCCATCCTAAAAATAATGAGATAAAATCCTTGATATATTTAAAAATCAGAAAATTTCTTTTTTAAACCTCAAATATGCGCACAGGCATACACACCTCAGCGCAGAGGAAGGCCTTGTGCTATAGAGTTAAAACTCGCAAAACAGGCGCCAATTAAAGAGCTTACATGTTATTGTAGTAATAACCTCAACAACACCAATGTTTTACCTTTTCGTTGAGCGGAGGAGTGTCGCACTGACTGGAACCCCCTGATTCTGATGCCACCGATTTGTTTCTATCACGTTCTCTGCTACTATTCGCCTTTTTCGAGTGACTTTTATTACTCGAAAGTGAGTTAGACATTTTCATTTGTAACGAACACTTAGATATACTCACAACATGATATTCTTAAATATTGATTTACTTATGATTTAGTCCTAAAGCGTGTCTCTGTTATATTTTGCAGTCACGTAAACAATTACTCAAACAAAATGATAAAGAACAGTAACACGAAATGCGAAGCGCTGACTTTATTTCCCCGAAACTGACAGTTCCAAGTTGACAGTTTGACAATGACAGGCAGCATGGTTGCATAGACTAAAAATGAACAACATAGAGTTATAGAGCAAACAAAAATAGTGATCAATAACAGAATGTAGGTACATTTTAAATATGTTTTTTTTTAATAAATTCTTAGATTCTAACTGAACAAATCTCTTGTCATTTTTCAGAGCCTTTGATATATTATTACTAATCGACTACAAGCCTTTTTTCAGCAGTTGATGTTGTTGTCCGTCCGGTCAGACACAGGACTAGATATTCCTATTATTCAGCACCCAATTATTTCTGCTTGAGAGGAAAACGAGTGAATTATTGTGACTTTTTGTCAATCTTATGTAAAATATACACAATACCTTACTTCATGAACATCACCTGATAACCTGAGTCTGGGAACCTGACAAACCTTGAGACCACACTTTCTATTTCCCTAGATAATGTCTCGGATTTGACTCCTAGGACGAACAATTTTTTTTTTTCGAGTTGGAGCCCGGCAACCCGTTAGTACAACACATGAGACGCTTATCGTAACAATTTAGTGAATAGTGGGTCTTCTGTGTAACATTGTATAGATATTTACATCTCCGAATGACTCCTAGGTGATGTTAAGATGTGATGAAGTGATGATGCAGCGACCAAAACCTCATTCCCGACTAATGCAGCGTAAGTACAGATTGCAATTAAGCTGCAATGCATTGATCCTCAGATTTTTCTAGATTTTTAGGTTGAACACTCAGAAGGGGTTACATAAAATAATAAACTTGTTTCTTTTCAGTTTTGTTTATATTCTCATAAGTAAAAAGAGCATGTGGACATAATTGGGTAGGTAACGTCTGTCAATATCAGACGACGTAATGATCCAAAATAAATTAGCAATGTAGTTTGCTGAAGGCACACAATTTCAGGTTCTGTGAGTTAATAACCACAACAACCCTATATAATATAATTAAGTTCTCTCATATCTATGTACATATTATTTATATATCTCGACAAACTATCATGTTCATCTTTATATTACAATATTATTCTTCCATCTTCCTGTACAAAAATTATTGCAATTTTTAGACATTAACTAAATTTAAATAAATGAACATCGCGATAAAACATCATTACCAATCATTACGTACTTACTTAAATCTAGATTTTACAAATATTGGCATAAAATAAAAAATATCTATGTTCATTATGAGGCACGTTACGATTATCTTTAATTATGTCAACAGTACATAATAATTAAGTTTATTTTACTTAAAGATTATGAATAAAATAAATTTGACAAAAAATATTATACTTTAATGTACCATCTCTTATACAAAAATATTTCAAACCATGGCAAGTCATCATGTAACAATGGAGTAAGCAATCATTCTGCAGATAGTGCCCGGCACGAAACATGGCAACATTTTGTCGTGAACTTCGTGGTCTGTGGTTATTGCCATCATTTGGTTATGGATCTACTTGGAAAAAAATTAACGTAAAAACAAGTAAAAGAATCTGTGTTGAAAGTTAAAATGAGAAGTAAAGAGAAATATACAACGCACCGAGAATTAATTCGCGCGAACAAAATCTTGCCATGTTACGTGCCGAGTATTATAGCATCTGCTCATGAAAAATCTTATGTTCAAATAATATCATTTGTATACACTTTACAATAACAACGGAAGCAAATTCAAGATAATATTGATACCAACCACTTCTTGCAGTCCATGCAAACAATTTATTGCTGTCTACTCTCAAAGTAGACTATATTCCATCACGAAACACGCTTTCACACAAATTAGAACTCTCAATTATAAAGTAATAAGGTTCAGTTTACTTATTGCTCCATGTTTTAGTATTATATGCTTGCCAGTTTGAGAAAAAATCTGTTCGAGGGTGAGTAGAGTACGTTTAAAATTAAAAACACCCAAACCCTATGAAATAAACGTTTGTCGTGAGGTCAGTCGGAGTCGCTGCCGGATTCGGACAGGCAGAGATCATCATTCAGCACGTCGGCCGGTAACGCAGGGTTGGGGGGCGCGTTACCTGAAAAATAAACAAATTCATTAAAACTACTTCTTTTTCCGTCTTGGTTTTATGAGGACGTATTCCTACTTTCCTTTTTCTTTCGTAAGAAGTATAGAAACAATAGTCCAATGTAACCGAATCATTTTCGAGTATTATATCCATTTTGTTACTTACATGTATCATTAAAGCTGCAAAAAGTTTAAGAAGTAACTTGCAACTGTCTAATACATGCACAACGCATCTTTATAAGTATTATTTTATATTTACTGTAAATACGCCAACAACGTAGCGATTCCAATACTTAACAAAATATGCAATTTTTTTTTAAGGGGGTAAAATCATCGAATGACTGCTTCCGCCTAGGTTTAGAGAGACAGACTCTTACTGACTGAAAATCACCCTGTTCTTACTCCTGCACTTCGAACCGGAGCCCCGGCTACCCGTAACGTTCGGGCTCCGTATCGTCATCAGCCCTATTGGGTCCCATCCATGGTGGTCTGATGGCTCTTTAGGGCGCGCGCGGAACGCGACGTACAATCTTATATGTAATACTATAAGAATAATTTTCAAGTGTACATACCGTTGGGTACAGAGTGGTGAGCACTGGAATCATTGTCGTCACTATCACTGCCGCTATCAGAGTCACTGCCACTCTCACTCGATGAACTTGAAGAACTGTCATCTTGTTGCTGGGCCTGCGAAACCGGATTAAAAGTTTAATGTATTAGCCATTAGAGGCCTTAGTGCCTTTTTATCCCCGAAGGGGTAGGCGGAGATGCACATTATACGGCACTTAATGCTACTGTACAATGTAACATCCACTTTTCACTATTTATGTTATGAGCTCATGTAATAGGGGGTGACCCTATTGCCATATACTGGGCACACTACCAGACTCCGAGCTACCACTAACATTTTTTGTTTTTAGAAAACCTAGAAATCCCCTGGGGTAAGACCCCTTGCCGTTTGTTTTACGTTTAAAACAATCGAAACGTGTACGCGTTCAGCGCTCCGATTGGCCGGCTCCAATGAATCAACCAATCAGAGCGTCGAACGCAGAAATCGAATCTCGTACTAAGCCCTCAGACTGTTAACTTGTTTGTAATTATCGCTACTCAAACAATATGAAATGTATTTTTTTTTATCAATTGATTGGATCACTGCTTTTGAAGTTACACACAAGACATAATAAAGGCATTATGGGCTTTGACCTTGTAATGAAGCTAAAGCTTCTACAGATTGAAGATGACTTGAGAGTACAAGGAAGGCCTTGACAATATTGGTAGTGAATTGGAAATCTCTTTTTTGTTTAATTTGTTTGTTTGTTTATGAAGGCTTAGGTTACCTGGTGATGTGTGGGTGGGGGTTGGTACGCGGCGGTAGTGTTGTGATGCGTCCTGTCGGGCGGGGGCGCGGGGGCGGGCGCGGGCGCGGGCGCAGGGGCGGGGCGCTCGAAGGCGCGCGCGTAGTGAGACGGGGGCGCGGGCGCGGCGGCCGGGGGCGCGGGGGCGGGGGCGGCGGCCGGCCCTGACAGCGCGTCGTCCAGGCCTATCATCGGTAGCGACGCCAGCGTACTATTGCCACCACCTGACCAACTGTAAATAGCATTCTATTTTAGACCATATTCTTATTAAAGGACTAAGAGTTATATATAAGAGTATCGATTACAAATTTAGCCATAACTTATATCCTGAATATATTACTTAAAAAAGTATTTATGGTTAATGACTTACGGCGCGGCCTGTGGAGGTGAGGTCTTCTGTCGCGGCGGCGAACGGACCAATGTGGGAGGCTTGGCCATGTTGCCCGCGCCGTTAAACCGAGCCGCATTATTCGGCTGGGCTGTTCCAGGTACTGTGTAAAGAAAATATTGCTTTGATAAAAAAATTACGTAAAAAGGACACTGACTATTAACTGAATATTGACTGAATCAATAATAGTGACTTATGATGGCCATCAGGGAGGATTTAATGGGGTCAGTTAGAATCCCATACTAGTATAATGGACCATAGGAGATAAACTATGGATCACCAGCAGCCTATAAATGCCCACTGCTGAGCAAAGCCTCTCCTCACACGGAGAAGGTTTAATCACCATGCTTGCTCAATGCAGGTTGGCGATTTCAAACTTATAATTAGAAATTATAAGTCTAGGTTTCCCCACGATGTTTTCCTTAACCTTTTGTCAGTGGTGTCTAAATAATCTTAGAACGTACATACATGTAACTTGGAAAGTCACATTGGTACTTGCCGTTGGTAGGTTTCGAACCCGCGCCCTCATCCATGTGAAGCGGGCGTCTTAATCTCAGGGGCTACCAAACTATAGATTGACTTATTCTTCCCAAAAAGTAAGGTGCCTTATTAAAGTAATTGCCCATTACCAAAAATGAAAGATGGCTATTATTCTTACCTGCATTAGTGTTACTACGTCTGTTGGTAGTGACGCGCGTGCGCGACGTGGAGCGCTGCGTCGTGTTTGTGAAGTCCGTCGTCACAGGCGTCAGGGGCCGCGGCTTCTGAGTCGTTTCTTGTCTGCGAAAATAAATATAAATAATAATACATAAGTAACTATAAAAATGCAGTGTGTTGAACATTATAATCATCATCAGCCTGTTTCTGGCTACTGCTATTCAGCAGTTGAGCAGAAGTCTACATCCATTATCCACATCTGTTGTATGAGTAAATAAGATAACTCCTATTGAAACGAGTAATTTTTAACTGAAGCAAAAAGGAGTCTTTATGACATATAACAGAAAAATTCGGTGGAATTAAGAACCTACACCTTTTGAAGGCAGTTAAAAGAGAAAAGAGTAAAGTACCCAGGCGTAGTACAATCCTCAAATCCTCAATTCCCAAAAGGTGAAGCACTTGCAACGCCTCTGGTGTTTCAGGTGTCCATGGGCGGCGCCGATTGCTTACCATCAGATTATCCTTATGCCATAAAAACCTACACAGGCCGATTCAAACTTAGTATCTACCGCTTAACAGTCACAGGTTCGTAACCACGAGATCAATGCGGCAGTCTAACGGAACCTTTTACTGTCTCATTACATAACAGTTTTTCTTTTTTTTTTCTTTTTAGAGAAAGGCAAGTGATTCATTTATTTGGCATGTGCTTTCTAACTGAATATCTGTGACGTCGTGACGTGTGTTACAAACAGATAAGTGGAACTAATATGGTATTTCCGATGGTAAAATCTCAATTGGGTATCTTCTCTTAATAAAAAATAAATTATTTCGACTGTTCAATACAATGAAATATTAAAAAATAATTGATTTTATGACAACTTAATTTTAGTTTATTTTATGAAATGAGTATGCCACAGAGATGCCACAATAGAAAATCTCGTACAAAATTCATAGAAAATTGTCGTTTTTGACAGTTCGAAAGATTTTTTTATTTTTTTTTTATTTAACACTTTATGTACAACTGTATACAATGGCGGACTTAATGCCGAATGGCATTCTCTACTCTTTTTGAATTTGACTAGTTAACATAGGAAAATTTTTGTTCTAGTTTGTATGTTTCTTTATACAAATATATTGAAATGGACATACTTAAGATAATATCAGACCTTTTTAACCGACTTCCCAAAAAAGGAGGAGGTTCTCAATTCGGCCAAGATGTTTCCTCTTTTTTCACTTAGTTGGAGTAATAATATCGGTCTATATATATTAATTTGAATTTCATGCTTTTCCCCATATACAATCCTCAAATTACTTTAAAGGGCCACCTTTAACCCCTCTGATGTGTGTGTCTATGAGAAGAATGCTTAGTATTAGGCGATTCTTCGTTAGCAACGCTATCGTAAAAATATATTTAATTAAAAAAATACTGACCTAGTCTTTTTCACTTGTATATTACTAGAGAGCTTCTCCAGAGTAATCTCGCCGGTAACTCTATCTATAATGAGCACGCAGTCCTTTGTGTAAGGCCTCTGGTTGCCTTTGAAAATGGTCTGAGGTACTCCTGCGCCATCTGTCGGGAACAAACTTATTGGTTAATCTTTTGGCACTTTATACACAGAAAAATAATACTCTCTGAATCAACGCTGATTTTATAATAATACATTATTTTATTTTATTTTATTTTATGGTAAAAAAGCCATGATCGTGAATTGCCATACGCTTATTAGGTTTAGGAATCTCAAGATACCGAAAATTTACAGGTGCAAGTAACACTCGCACTTCACAAGGAGTTTAAAATACATGTATAGTTTTCCTATCAAGTACAATTATGTATCCTTACTAATATTATAAATCGGAAAGTGAGTTTGTTTGTTCCGATTTCACGCCGTAACTACTAAACCGATTGCATTGAATTTTTGCAGACGTAAAGTTAGTAGTCTGGATTAAATAATAGGGTACTTTTTATCCCGAAAAATTTGATATTCCCGGGGAAAATAAAAGTATTGGTATAGATGGCGCTGTATGTATTAGTATATGTCACATAGGCTACTTTTATCCTTTTGTGACGCTAGCGACGCCGCGGGTAAAAGCTAGTAGGAAATAAATTATACATGAAGACACACAGCCACCGAAGACAGAAGGTCTGCTACGTATGGTGAAGGCCTCCTGTGCATTACAGTGAGGAACAAATAATAACTATATTTGACAAGTTGTTGAAACAACGAAATATATATATATTTAACTATTTATGATTTGATCAGGGATAACTATCTGTAACTCCTTATAAAATCTATTAGACAAATTGCTTTGCAAACACCTTAATTGTTTTCCTGTTACAAGAACAAAGTACAATAAAAACCTAATGACTATTATGAAAAACCCAAAAATGTTGCAGGGAAATTCCAAAATAGGTAGGTATAATTCCTTTTATTCCTGGAATACTCGTAATAAATTGATATAAAAAAGCCGGTCAAGTTGCATTTGACCTGTTTTTCTTGGGAGGACTAGTGCAGGCTATTAGGTAAAAATATTAGTGTATTATTAGGCTGTTTTAAGTCTCATTGGCATATTTCACACATTTTTAGAATGCGTAACTGTAGGACTGTAGTCTTGTTTTTTTTTTAAGGCCCCTGCCTCGAAGTGGCGCGGGAGCGGGCTACGAGCGGTGTACTCCAGTCACGCGGTGTCCGTCGAGCCACGCTGCCGCCGCCTCGCTACCCGCAAAATTCGAGGCAGAAGCCTTAGAGTAACGAACCCTAAATATTTATCATTGAATTGTTCCTAAAACCCTTATAATTGTGCTGACTGGTACTCATTAACGAACAGGACAGCATGTACTGTCCAATTTGGTGCAACCATTCAAAAGTTGTGTTCATACATAATTATAGATACACATGTTGGTGATTCAGTTTATAGGTAGACGACAATATTTTAATTATACATTTGTAAATTATTTCATGACATAAAGATGTAAATAAATAATGATAACTTACCCAAATGTGGTACAGTAACAGTCACTTGATTATTTGTTCCAACATCCACCGTTGCCATTTTGTTAACGTCAACTGAAGCCGGTTTGAAGTCATCTGAAAAACATTAACGCAACACCGATCTTAATAAAACGGCAATGTATATAATGAATTATACAATAAATCACGGAATGGATTCATAGTGAATCCCATTTGAGATGAATAATACTTAAATGCATCGTTTCTAGGATAGGACCTCCGATATAAATATCTATACTAATAATTAAGTAGTGAAACTGGTTCTTCTTAGTTTTAAATCATTTTTCTATGATGGCCATGAACATAGATTCAAAGCCATCTTTTAAAACTTAGAAACAGAAGTTACTAAGGGATTAACAGACAGACATAAACCAAAGTTCAATAACCTTAAAATATAAGGTGTGTTGTATAGTATTCATATTTTATTTTTATAGGCAAAGGCAAACTGGCTGTCAGCCAAGCAAAGGATGTTATGAGAATGGTAATCTAAATAATGGTTTCAGTTATAAAACTTATGAACCACACCCTTATAATAATAACAATGTGATTATCATAATTACATCAAGTTTATCCACTTCTAGGTCGGCCTTCCCTTTTTTCTATTTGTGGCCTTTTTATGTAGTTTACAATAATTAAACTAATCTATAATAATATCATCATGTCACTCAAAGACTGCACGATTGGCCCGGTGGCTGGGTAACTGGCTGCCGCGCAATTTGTCGCGGGTCCGATTGCCGCACAGAACAACTCATTGTGTGATCCACAAATTGTTGTTCCGGGTCTGGGTGTCATGTGTAAGTGAATTTGTATGTTCGTAAACGCACTCACGATACAGGAGAAAATCCTAGTGCGAGGCAACGATTTTTTAAGAAACAGCCTACTTTTAAATAAAATATTTTACTTATTCCAAAGGTATTTTACTGCAATCATTAGGGTCATTCATTACATTTTTAATTTTTAGACCTTAATTATGTACCTACTAAATAATAATAAAATGATAAATTATCTAAATCACTATCTAAATAATGTACAATTTGAGTGGTTCTAATTAATAGCCATTTTAATAATGATGCAGTCCACATTTGATGATAAACATTAAATCGAAATACTAAAAACTGATAAGACAAGATTTGAAAATTAAATATGGATTAAAAGGATTCCTATTTTGATCAATAGCTTAGTTGATAAAAATATTAATTTTATAGTCCAAATTGTTTTGTCTTTCAAGTATTTAAATGAAAGATTTGTTCCCAAAATAACATGCAAAACTATTAAACCTTGACTGTCCAATTATAAAACCTTGTTATTGTAGGTCAGCATTCACAATACAAGTAGTGTTGTGAGTAAATCATAATCTTCAACAGTCCATGAAAGTGCACTGCAACTAGAATATGAGCTTTCTCTTAGACAGAGGATTTTGCCGTAATCTCAACATTTGGTAAGCTGGGTGGAGATAACAGTATTTTTCTTTTTTTATCGTTAACCGCTTGAATGCCCGTATATAAGACACAATAGAAAATAAATTTTGTCTGGCGTGGATCCACGTTTAAACACACGATGGGTTAAATCACATCAGTATGTATCTTATAATCCAAGCCCCACAAAACCATTGCAATGCTTTGACTGTGATGTCGAGTTGCTAGACATACTTATAATTAAATATTATACAGGTGTTGAAACTTATACTTATATAGAACTTGACATTTCTAGATACTGTGAGACTGCCTCATTGGCTGTGTGGTCGCAAGTGCGATTACCGGACAAGGGGTCTCGGGTTCGATTCCCGGTCGGGCAAATTATTACTGGGTTTATAAAAAACCTCAGTAGTAGCATGGAGGCTGGAAATGTGCCCGGTATATGGCAATAGGCTCACCCTGTATTACATGGGACTCATAACATAAATAGTGAAAAAGGGTGTTACATTGTAGTGGCATAATGTGCACCTCTGCCTACCCCTTCGGGGATAAAAGGCGTGATGTTATGTATGTTATTTCTGAATAATATGACTTTAATTTACATTTAAACCTATTTAATTTGTTTCACTCCTTATGTCTACCGGTGGACTATTCAATAGATATGGTCTAAAAAGGTTAGGTTCATCAGAGAACCCTGCCGTGGGTAAATATGTAGTACCTTAATGGACTTTTACATCACCTGCGAGTAGAATAGAGTGTTAATAAATGTATTCTACGGTGAGTTACTACTTACATTTGATTGTGTGGTATTGTGGTGCCTTGTTGTTAGTAAAAGTCGCTCCCAGCTTCAACTCTCTCACATCATAATTCAGGCTATGTTTATCCGCCATTATGACACTTGGTTTTCGGCCATAAATATTTTTTTTATCTGTAACAAAATGTAAAAAATTACTCTGAATGTTTGAAATGTGAACATGTAGGGCATAATAGATGGAACCGAGTTGTTGCATTTGTAAAATTAATTTATTATGCAATGCTTAGTTCAATCAAATAGTTCATGTTCTTATCAGTAAATGTCACTTGGATAACTACAATGATTTCAGTTTAGTTCTTAAGGTAATCTCATTTTTTTTCTTTTATTTTCAAATTTAGATTGAAGAGAATATCAGTGAAAAATATATACTAGTAGAGAATCGCTTATTAACCCTTTAAATACCGTCATTATAGACACAATTAAAGAACAATAGGTTGCGGTCACCAGTGTCCTCGCAGTGTTTGACAGTTTAATATAAGGAGACAAAATGATCCTGGCATTTTAGTGGCAGACTTAAGACCCAAAATAGGCATGTGTCCAAAAAAACAACACTGTACAAGTAATACCTATGTTGAAAAAAAAACTAAGCTAATTTTATTATTACTAACTTAACATCTTCTTCTCATGTAAACCTTTTTACACATTACTTTACAGATACAGGGTGTGGCTTTATGTAGATTTATGTTTAAACTACTTTTATAACTGTACTGGCTGTATGTACATTAAATAAATTACAAGTAGGTATGTATTTATCATGTAACTGCAATTATAACCTGCCCACACTACATATTCACTTCCTAGGAATTCTAATACTTCTATATAGTAATTTTAAAGCTGGCTATATATAAAATTTTGGATTATATTTTTAGAAGTTAATAATTACTACTTTAGGGAACGTTTTTCTTCAGGTTTCCAAAGGGCATGGGCTACATTTTTACTAAATAGGAAACTTTGATATTTTAAAAAGATAGGTGTTTAAAACCCGTGTTCAAGTTAACAAAGACTTTAACACTATAATGTGTAGCTAAGAAGACTAAATTAACATACTGAAGGGCTTTAAAATAGATATCAAAGTTTTAGATTAAAAATTTAATATTAACTAAAATCTTTTTTGAGAAAGTAAGTGCTCAGATGTGTAAAATAAATTATTTTAATACATGAACATTTATAAATACCTGTGATACAGGTAAATACACCGATACTGATAGCTATTATGCATACGTACCTCTACATTCACTAACACAGCTGACAAACTAGGTCTAAATTTTTTTTTTCGCCACAACACAGTTTACTTCTCTCAAGAATAATAGTGAAAGATTTGAACTTTTTAAACAATATTATGCTGCCTAAACATTGAAAATATGAAGTTAATTGCAACATAAACTCATAAAAGAAAGTTCAAATAGATAAAATATGGCAAACAATTTTAAAGACTGAATGATACCCTTACCTTCGATTGATTCTTCACCTAAGTTTTATCAAACCCAACTATGTCTCAGAAATAAATGTCATCGTCAGTACGATTTTTAGGCGCACTAATTAGATAATAATTTCATGAAAAAGGGCTCGTTATAGTAATAAAATAGTCCAATAAGTTAGACATGAACTATTCCTTCGACCTAGTTCTCATGACGTTTAATTTAGAGATGGCGTGTTATAATTTTACTAATCAAGTAGAGTAACGAAAAGTTACTAAAGTATTATGAGTTAAGTCGAAAATGAAACGATTTTTGTTGTCATTCGGGAGATGCTTCAAATAGCCCGCGAAATTCAAATTGTTTTACTATCTTTGCAGTTTATAAATCGATATCGCGTAGTATCGATATAATAAAACATATTTTGCAGTATTGACATAACATATGCGTTTATACTAGGACTGTGTCGCAAATTTCAAAAATGCCTTATATCGTTAGTATTGTACCTATATTCCCGAAAATAATTCCCGAATATTTCTTGATAAAAATTATATTTAAAACACTTAGTATACGTTTAAAAAAATATTTTAAATCTGACTTAAAAACACAAGAAAATGTCATGGCGTCGTGAATGACGTCACATAGTTGCAAGCAAATGTGTTCACTTGCGGCGAAAGTTTGTTTGTTTAAATAAAAATGGAAACTTCGTATTTAAAAACTGCATAGTGCCCCAGTGTATAATTACAAGTATAAAAACTCAGACTAAATTATTCATATGTGTTCCGGTCAAGAAAAAATGCGAAGAAAGTGCTTAAAAGTTAAGTTAAATTGGTTGCGTTCACGGCGGAGGGGCCAGAAATGTATTTTTTTTATTTTAATTTGTAAAAATAACAATAATATTATTTCGGTTTTTCTTGTTTAAATATTACAGCTACAGTTTTATTTACACTTAGAAACATTCATCCATTGGTTTCTTTGTTAGTTGACACAACCCTATCAATGTTACTCTGTAACTTAAAGAGAGTACCACATGAGCAATTTTAGAAAAATCGTTATAGATCTTGAAATCAAATGTTATAAAACCTAACTTTGAGAGCTTCTTGTGGTTTTCAGACAAATCACAATCCAATAATACATGACACCACAGAGATTACTATTTTTCATTTTGGATTGAAATCGGTTAACAAAAAAATGACATTTTAATACTCGGTCCAATAGCAACCCCTGTAGTGTCGTTGAGTTGGGCCGTCAGAGATTGTTAATTTCAGCAGCAGTAAGTCGGAGTCTTTATAATTATTATGCGATTGTTGAAATTAATACTAGGTACTTTGTATTAATTTACTCAGTAAGTACCTATATACTACTTTTGTAAGAGATTGTTAAGGTAAAATGAAAATAAATACCACATGATAATATACCACGTAATGTAATTGCCATTGCCGGCGCTATGAGGTCTGCCCATCTTTCTCCTTTTATGTTAAGGCATTATGTGTCACGTTATTGTACATGAAATCTTTGCTGCGCTAGTAGCTATTAAAATTTGTAGATAAGGCCTGTTGATGTTGAGTAATTCATACTTATTTGAATTATAAAGCTAAAGAGCTTGTTTGTCTGAATGCACTAATCTCTAGAACTACAGATTCGAAAAAAAACTTTTTCTGTTTAATAGTCCATTAAGGAAAGCTATAAGCTAGGTTACAAAACACCACGCATCATCATCATGACCAAAAGCCGCTGAGCAGTAGGCGAAACCAGATGAAGTAGCTAGAATAAAAATAATATTACTCACCTTGAACGACACGAGCCATCTCAAGCCTTTTTACTTCACTGTCGTTATTGCGACGGTACGAGGTAATCAACTACCGTAAAATATTTGCTATTCAATTTCAAAGTACTACTAGTGTAGGACGTTACGTTCAAAAAATAGTGTACCGAACCGAAGCAACGCACGAGACTAATAAAAATTTGATACGTGCACTCGCTGTGAAGTTCAGGTATACACTAGTGAGCCCAGGTTGAGGGCGAGTGCGTGGGCGTCTATGTACCGGCACTACCAACAATACGCACGTTTCTAAAGGTAGGCGCACACTGAGGCGGGCCGCGTAACACCGCAACGCATAACAAAAATCCTCTTGAATCAGTTCCATACATTTTGTATGGGCTATCGCACACCTCAGGTGGGCCGTGCCGGGCCGCATCGTAACGCACTGGCATATCGCTAGCCAGGCGTATTTTTACGGCGATGTTATGCGTTGCAAAGCGGCCCGTCTTAGTGTTTGTTAGCAGACGCAACATGTAGACGGCTGAATCAGTTCTGTTCGTGAATTACCAAACAGAAGCCGAATCATCAACAATGTTTCAAAAAGCTCAGAATATTTTTCATATGTCATTCTAAAATATTGAAAAAACTTTCTTTCATCTTCTAATACTTAAATCTTCAAAAAGGGAGTGAAATTCACCATAACCATTTCTCTTCTTGCAAATGTCGTGTAGCCATTTGCTACGTTTTCTTTTTATTTTGTTGTTCATCTCTTGTTAAACAGCAAATTGAATAAAAAAAGCTGATCGTCAGAATTATCAATTTTCTTAGATTGCCAAAACCTGAATGATTATAAAATATTGGGTTGCGGTGCGGCCCGATGCGCCTGCTATATGCTTTGGCGCAATTTTGCAATGCGATGCGTTGAAACCCGCCGCGGCTATAGTTTGCGCGAGCCTTTACACTGCTATAGCGGTTCTTTATCATTTACTGGATAGCGGTACGCTTGCAGCAGAAAAGTATCCTTTTAGATTTTGAAAATGATAAATTTGGAGGACACACATCTTAAAATGTGTAAATATGATTTCTTAGATTAGTCTATATTTCTATATACTTTTTAAGTTGCTATTTTTAATTACATATTTTTTTAATTTATGTATTTTTTTAACTAAGCTAGAGTTAATTGTTTGAAGAAGCCATGAATAAGCTACTCTCAATAAATACTGGTTCGATTTAAAAAAGTATATAGCTAATGGCTAAACATAACTGTAGCAGTAGCGCGGCATGCAACTGCAATATAATATATACAGTGCATAATCTTACTCTACTTAGACTGAAAATATAAATATGCTTGTATTCTACAGTAATGAAGGATTTTATACAATTTTTGTATGGTACTAAATGAAAGAAAGAAATAAATGATGTGTCAAACATAAAATGAAACAGCAACAATAAAAATTACGAAAATAATTTTGCACCGCCACCTAATTGGTAGTCGATTTTGTTATTTCGAGTTATAACAGCTGTTTTATGCTTTTTATTGTACATCACTAGGAAAATAAAAAGGTTCAAATAATTTAATTTGTCAAATGTGTAACTGTCATTGTCATTGTCACTTGAAGAATGAAATGAAAATTGAAATTATTTTGTTGTGTACACTTTGACTTTGCCTGTATGCATTCATTTCTTCGTAACTTTGTTGATTTCGTTGCTATACACCGGGTTCCCTAGAAACTAAACAATATGACGAAAAAGTCAATTACTTTGGACGTCGATCCAACAATTATGGAAAAGAATATGAGGATTGTACGAGTAAGTTTTGGTTTGACTTTACATAAATAACACACAACCTCACTTAGCTATAGATGATTATTAATTATTAAAGTGTATTGCTTAATTTTAGGAAAACCCAGTTGAAGAAGAATTCAACAAACTTTTGTCAAATGTTGAAACTATACCATCAAAACTTGTGAAACCCACCCCAGGTAAACAATTCGAATAATCATAATATTTCAGGTTTAACTCGGTAATTCTTAGCTTTTATTCGTTTCACCTGTATAAGCGAGATGTTTTAATAAAATGCTCTATTTCATCCATATCTCACAATATTTCACTCTTTTTATTTCAGGCTTTTGTGTGAAAACCTTCACAAAGCCGGAGGAAAGAAAGTCTTTGTGAATATATGTCTGACAGATGCCATTATTTGCCCCCGCGATATTAGCAATGAAGAGCTTATGCAGATTCTCAGCTCGGAAGATCCTTCCTCTTATAGAGTCCCTATGAGTATTGGGGAGGGTAGGACTGAAGCTGACAGGTCTGGGGCTCCAGCCACAGTCTATGATGTTGCTATAAACCCAGAATTCTTTAAAAAAATTGAAAAAGATGACTTGTTTCAAACATTTTTTCTCACCGTTGTCTTTGAAGGGTTACAAGACAAGTATCAATTTGAAATAGATATGCAAAAGTACACTGTATTGAAAAATAGAAAGTCTATAGGGACTTTGCAGTGCCATAGAATACAAATAAGGGGTGTTAAGAATAATGAGAAGTGACTAAATCTCCTTTGATTGAGAGTTGGATGATAAAGGGGTTGTACAAAAGCCTAGTGTTCCAACTTTGAAGAGGGAACTGGAATACAGACTGAGACGTGAACCACCTACTGGAGAGATTGAATACTTGCTGGCTGAATTCAAGATACCTTCTAGTGTGAGTACATTCATATCTAAGTTTAAAAAAATACAGCTTTATTTATTGCATCTGCTTAGCCCTACATTTTGTTGTTCTTGCTAGGACTGCAGTATGTATTTTTCTATTGGTTTTTTTTTAATTGTTGCCATATTATTTGTAATAGCCAGACAGACCGGGGTGCTTACTCTTGAAACCACTGTCAATGTCAATGCAATTTCAATCCAATAAAATCTCAATAATTATTCAATGTCAAAACTATACAACCCCTATTGTAGCTGTTAAAATAGCATTCAGAGTACGAAATATAAAGCCAAACACAATAGCATTTAGTTCATACAATATCCACGCAATACGGATGCAATGGGCGCTAGTGTTGCAACTCAAGAGTACGAAATTTAACAATGTCAATGTCGATCAATCGGAATTGGATTCAAGAGTAAGCCCCCAGCTAGTTTGGGTGAACATTTGAGTGGAGCAACCCTACAACTGTCCAGTAAAAATCATCATATTTCATAGCTCTATATCCTACTACTAATATTATAAATGCGAAAGTTTATATTTTTACTCCTTTAAGTCAAAACTGCTGAAGGGATCAGAATGACATTTGGAATAGGTGTAGATAGTGGTATGAAATAAGGCCACTTATTATCACACAGGAATGCGGGTTAAACTGTCAAACACCAAGCGGTCACCGGTGACCGCAACCTATTGTTCTTTAATTGTGTCTATAAATACGGTACTCGACGCGTTAAGCCAGGCAGGTGCTGGATTATTATACATTTTATATTTTCCAGGTTAATGTAAAAGACCTTAGTTTGGAAGTCGGTGAAGATCGCCTGGTGTTAGATTCAAAGGGACAGTTTGAAATGGTGGACTTCTTCCTGCCTTGTAGTGTGGATCAAGAAGTCATTGATGCTCAGTTGAATAGAAATGATGATGTAAGTTCAACCGATACTCGTTGATAGCATGTTTTTTTTTTAATCTTTTATGTAGACTTGAGATATTTACTTCTGAATATTTTTAATATGGTTGATATCTACATTAAGACCACCTTGTTGGCCAATGGTTGCGGAGTGCGACTGCTAAGCAAGAGCTCTCAGCTTGATTCTGGTCTACATAATAATTGTTGCTTTTTTCGGATTTTCAAAAATTATCCAGTAAGTAGTAACATAGATCATTGAAAAGGAATTTTTAGTTATCCATTAATCTCTATATTATATCATTTATTGTTGTCATGTTTGTTTTCAGATGCTGTTTGTGAAAATGCCTGCAATACATTAGTTAAAGATACGTAATACTTAAAGTTAATGCCTATTGTTAAAGCTTGAAGAATAAAACGATTTTATTATTGTAATAATTGTTTTATTTTATGGTCAATTGAGTTAGTAAAATTACAACTTGGAATCAAGACAATATACTATACAGTATTCAATCTCACTAGAGATTTATTAATTACCTATTTATTATAGATAAAAAATATAATTAACAGTCAATTTGTACTAGTATTGGCTCAATATAAAAGGCACTACATATTTACTTCGACACAAAGCTGGTTGAAATACAAGCAAAACTGATACCCATTTTCACTAACCACTCTTAAAGAGAGTGGCACTTAACAATATTGTTTTACACCAACCTTTAAATGACATGTTACAATACAAGTAAGGGGTCAGTTTAGGTGCTCCCTCATGCTTAGTAACTCTTAGTTATGAAATGTTTTAGGGGTGGTTAGTGAAAATGGCCATGATTCAATTTAGCAGAAAGGAATTTTTGGTACTAAAATTATTTTATTGTCTATCTCTGCAACAAGCAAGCTACATGAATTTATAATTCTCTTATGTGTATTTAAACAATTTGGATTCAGTCTATAGTTAGCTGTAATATCACATTAATGCTCATCAATTAATTCCTATTAAATTAATTAGTAAAAATATAAAATTATAAAGAAAAAAGAGATTACAAGAGATTTCATTTAAAAATATGAATGAAAGAAAGTTTTAAAACAATAGCTGTGTGATGTATTTATTTATTACAATTTTTATAAAAGAAAAAGTTTACTAGGTATATAAGTACATTGATCTTAATTATTATTTTATTAATAATGAATAATAACTCATATGTCATTTCAGTAACAGTGGAAACCTTATAATGTAAAATATTAAATTAAGTGTCCTATATTACATAAAAATGAAGTACCAACAGTGACAACTGTAGTACAGTACAAACTTGAAAAATACCAATTATGATTTACTACAAAGGCCGGTAACAAATTTCCTATAAGTGACAAATCGCTTGCATACAGAAGCAATTTTTAATTTTTTTTTATGGTTAATATCATCCAATGACTTCTCCTGCCTGGGTGAGGCGGGAGGGAGTGTCAGACTCTTACTGACTAAAAACCACCCCGTTCCTACTCCTGCACTTCGAGCCGGAGCCCCGGTAACCCGTTAAGTTCTCCGTGGCTCCGAATCGGCATCAACCCTATTGGGCCCCACCCGTGGTATACAGAGGCGTTAATACGAGTTTGTTCTACGCGTTAGGCTATCTGATTGGCCAGCTCCAATGAAATTTAACGATTACTTTAAACGTAGAACAAACTAGTGCGTCTCTACCACTGGTAACTACAATTTATATTAAACTACCAAAAAAAACAAATCACAAATGAGGTCCAGATAAAAAGGTCTCCACTGTAGATTATTAAAACAAACATTGGTCACAGTAAAAATACATAAAAAAACTTAATATCTAAATATACACTCACTTAGACACAAATAAATGCAACATATTGTGGCAACCCCCAGCTTGGGATAAGGGCAGGTATTAGTAGAAGATAAGAATATAATGGAATACATATTACAAAAATACCGGTACATTTTCTCAAAGAACTGGACGAAGACAGAAGATTTTTCAGTATCACAAAATATCCTATAACTAACATATACACATTATTACAAATACGAGTTAATCTTGTATGGTAACAAAATAATTAGTTAAAATTAAATGACCTACTTAAAAATTAGTAGTATGCGAGATATGATTTGAGTTAGCCTCAATTTTAAAACTAAATAATTGACAATTGGATCTACTTATTTCTAATTATCTATTTCGTATTTCCAGGCTTTGTGATTAATGGCAAATATTTAATTATGGCTCGCTAATAATTCACTAGGGCGCTAATAATTTTAAAAATACAATTTAAATAACATAATAACATAACATCACGCCTTATATCCCCGAAGGGGTAGGCAGAGGTGCACATTATACCATTGTACAATGTAACACTCACTTTTCACTATTTATGTTTACTACAGTTTTAATTAGTTAAAATCGAAACTAAGCTCACAAAAAACGGAATGAAAATAGTAACAAGTCACTGTGAATTAAAAGTATTCACTAACTGTATGAATTTAAGATCGCTTTCCGAATAATATTTCTATCGAAAACGTCGTAACAAATATTTGACATTCACAACAATATAAACTTTATGTCTGTCCAATTAAGTTCCTTTATCAAATCACAAAGCCAAATTGGAAACACGAAAATAAGTCTAAAGAGATTCAACTAGAATTCATCATGATTTATATGTATACTTTTTCTAACATTTTGTTCTATACCTGCTAGTAGACTTTCGTCGTATCTTCTTATATGTTGTTTAACTTCTTTTAGTACGGTTTCATAGTCTCTGAGAGGTATGTTGATGACGGTACTGAACCTTTGGCGCTGATTTCTACTGAGATATAATTTAAGGGTGGGATAAGACATTATTTGCTCCTGCTGACAGATGCCACGTTCAGAGATGCAGTTCACTCGGCCCATTTGTATAGCGTTGTTTAGGAACTGAAAGGGATAATGTTTTCATTGTAATTTAGGTGATAAGGTTGATATATGTTGTGTCTCGTTTCCTAGAATTATAGATAGATGTAAAGATATAGTAGAACAAACACTATAATCATCATCATTCTATCACAAGATGTATATTCCTAGACATAGGGCTCCCACAATTCGTTCAAAATCAGCTGATTGGAAAGAGACTGAATTTAGTGTTTCCCTAAGAACGTCATCAGGTTGGCTGCCGATGTCTATTATAAACCTATTTCTCATCATCAAAGATTCTTAGTTGTATAACCAAACTAGCTTTTTGATGATTTTCAGAGGTTTTAAGTAGTAATATACCTCATAACCATAAACTAACTATTTTAGCAGTATTTAGTACTTTAGCATATAATTATGTTTATTGTAACATCAACATATTACATAAGTAGACTACTACGTTTAAAGAACCGACTTAAACCCCCTCTTTTTTTGAAGTCGGTTAATTAATATACCTCTCTTAAGTGTAACAAACACTTTTCTGAAAACGGCATCAAAATCGGTTCGTTAAAAGATAAGTCAGTTAAAAGATAATCGCGCCCAACCATATATACATACAGGTTAAATTGAGAACGTCCTTTTTTGAGGTCGGTTAAAAATAAAGAAAATTGTCCAAGTAGGACTTACATAGCCAGCGATCGCAAAGGCCGGATACTTCTCATAGCAGCTGAAACATCTTGGGGAATGGAAATATACCAGCCAAGGTTTCTTCGTTCTGCAATACACAACCATCATCAATGACATGAATAATGACAGTGTAGTGGAGATGAGGTCTGAGATGTAAGTAGGAAGTGAAATTAACAGGTAAAGAGTGAAAACGTGGATGATAAGTTGTGGTTTGGTTATATTGAAAGAATATTAATATGTTAGAAGAGTTAGCTAAAGGGTTAAGAGAGAGTAAGGGAGAAGTCCGGAGAGGGACTTTGACCAGAGTCAAGCCAAGAGCCCCTCTGTAGGCTAAAAAAGATTGATGAATGTGATGAAATGAATGAGGTATGCCAGAATCGTGTCATTTGTCTGTGCAAAAATGTTTGAAAATGAGTAAAGATTTTTTTAAATCTTCAATAAAGAGTAATAATCGGATTTGTTTATGTTCTCGAATAATCTTGTAATGACATTATTTAACATATTCTTGAACGTTATTTTCATCGGATTAGATGATTTTATGTCAGGTAATGTTAAGTAAATAAATATATTTTTATTACATTTTCTATCATAACATGTACAGATTTTTTAATTTCAATTGGGTACTTGCCAACTTTTCAAATACTTTTTTTGAACTGTCAAAAACGACTGTTTTCCAAGAATTTTGTACGAGATTGTGTATTGTGACGTCACGTTTTTTAGCGTCAAACAGTACTTATAATATTTTTAATTGCTGGAAAAATACTAAAAATTAAGTTAGCCATAAAATCAATTACTGAAAGTGTGATTGTTTTTTCATATTTTATTATATTGAACAGTCGAAATAATTTGTTTTTGATTAAGGAAATTACACTATTATTATTGTTCTAGATAAAATGATAAATCTTCTTCCATCGTCGTATAGACAACGAGAGACCCCGCGATACTCACATCAAAGTTGTGATGTTAAGTTTATGAATGTTATAAACTATTGAATTAATAAAATATAACACTGGCTGCTTTACAGTGTTTAGTTTTTGAATAGTTCTGCCAGGTGGCACTTTATGTTTTTGTTTCGTTCTGTTGTTGTTCTTACCTTTCATAGAAGTATGTGCAAGTAAATAAAAGTAAATAATTATTTACAAGAATACAATCTTTTATTAGAATTCCTAGCCCCTAACTCAATAGGTTATGGGCCCAGGATACTCTGCTAGTGAACATAAGGTAAAGAAAACGTGAATAAGAAAAAATTCATTGTCGAGATTTGTAACGTCAAACAAAATGGATCCGACACGAATGAATTTAGAAAAATTTGATGGAAATAACTTTAGACAGTGGAAATTCCAAATGAAATGTGCTCTGAAGGCAAAAGGAATAGATATTTATAAGCCAAAACCAGAAGCAAAGGCAGAAGAGTGGTTGAAAAATGATGGTATGGCGATGTACATATTAACATCTTCTATGGATTTCAAGCAAATCACATTAGTAGAAAACTGTGAAACTGCTAAAGAAATAATGACAAAACTTGAGTCTATATATGAGCAAAAGAGTGAATTATGTAAAATGCTAATTCATGAGAAGTTTTATCAATATAAAATGTCGGAAAGTGACAGTGTGGCTCAACATATTTCTAAAGTTGAAACCTTAGCAAAGCAGTTGAAAGAAAGTGGCGAGAATGTTAGTGAGATGGCTATCATTACAAAAATACTTGGAACATTGCCCTTAAAGTATAGATATCTGCGCCAAGCATGGATGTCATTGGATCCCACACAACAAACTCTCAACAATTTGACGGCTCGTTTATTAGATGAAGAAGCTAGTTTAGTGTCTGTGGAAGAGCAAGAGACAGCTCTCCTTGTTGCCAACAAAGGTTGGAAGAAACAAACGAAGCAAATTGAATCTGGACATAGTGGGAGTAGTGTGAATCAAAACAAAACCACTAAACACAGATTTGAGTGTTATAACTGTGGAAAAAGGGGCATTTTGCAAAGGAATGTCGTTTTCCGAATAAAAATAAGTACAGAAAGTCTACACAACCATCTGACAACTTGGCATTTAATGTGGAAGTCGATTGCAACAAAACAGAAGACAATTCGTGGATATTAGACAGTGGCGCCTCTGCACACATGACCTACAGAAAAGACTTCTTTGTGGAGCTGTTTGAATGTGATCAGAAATCGTTAACATTAGGAAATCAACAAGCTATAGAAGTATCCGGCATTGGTAAAGTGTTGATAAAGAGATATGTTAATGGACAGTGGATAAACAGTGAACTGCATAGTGTAATATGTTCCTAGTCTACGGAGGAATTTATTTTCAGAAGGAGTTATTATACGACAAAATTACTCTATTATAAAGAAGGATTTAAGCGCTTTGATATATAAAGAAAATGACATAGTGATGAGTGCAAAAATAAGAGAAAATAATCTGTATGAGTTGAATATAAAAACAATAGTTTCAAATACTTGTAACTTAGTTCAAAATAATAAAAGTGATATAAAAATATGGCATGAACGTTTAGGACATATTAATACAAAACAAATTAAAAATATGTTTGTTAATAATACAGTAGAAGGTCTAAAAATTAATGAAAATGATGAACTAAGTTTTGTTTGTGAGGCATGTGCATATGGAAAGCAGTGTAGGTTTCCATTTCATAAATCTACACGAGGAGAACTACAGCCTGGGGACTTGGTGTATAGTGATGTCTGTGGACCGATGAGTCAAGCTTCAGTTCAAGGCATGAGATATTTCTTGTTGTTCAAGGATGCAGCTACAAGTTTCAGGTATGTATATTTTATTCAAAATAAGAATGATGTTATGGAAGTATTCAAGAAATATAACAATATTGTTAAGAATAAATATATGCATGGTGTTAGAACATTGCATACTGATAATGGAAAAGAATATGTGAACAATGTTTTTAAAGATTATTTGGAGAAAGAAGGAATAGTTCATGAGCTTACTGCTCCGTACACACCAGAGCAAAATGGGCGTGTTGAAAGAGAGAATAGAACAATAGTGGAGAGTGCTCGTTCAATGTTGTATGCGAGAGATGTTCCACTATATCTATGGGCCGAAGCAGTACAATGTGCTGTTTATATATTGAACAGAACATCTTCCAGTCAGACTCCAGGCAAAACCCCATATGAATTATGGTATGGTACAAACCGCAAATAGGTCATTTGAAGGTGTTTGGCAGTGTTGGATATGTTCATGTACCAGATCAGTTGAGGACAAAGTTTGAAAAGAAGAGTAAAAAAATGATATTAGTTGGTTATGACAACAACAATTACAGAATGTATGATACAGATAGAAAAACCATAAAAATATCTAGGAATGTAATTTTTGATGAACATTTGGTTACAGAAATAAGGAAGAATATTGCACAGATTAGTATTATGGATGATGAAGATAATGCTGTGCAAAATAATAAAACAGAATCAGTGAATGCAGTTAATGAATTAAATGAAACAAATCAAAATGAGTCTGATGAAAGCTTGATGAGCTGTAACAGTGAAGACCCAGCATATGAGCCGTCTCAAGAAATAGAAAATATATCACACTCAAACATAACATTGAGACCAAGAAATAATCGACGGTTTGAAGCGAACCTGGTTGAGTTGTCATTGCCTCAAACATATAATGATGCATTACAAAGCCCACAGAAAAAGGAATGGTGTCAAGCTATCAAGGAGGAATTGGCTGCACATAAAGAAAACAATACATGGAGTGTAATAGAAAGATCTGATCAGAGAACGCTTACTACAAAGTGGGTCTTTACAATTAAGAAGAATGAGAAAAATGAAAAACGTTATAAAGCTCGCTTAGTGCACGAGGGTTCAAACAGATCAAAGATGTTGACTATCAAGAAATATTCTCTCCTACAACTAGATATGATTCTATTAGAATTGTTCTCTCTATTGCAGCTAAGTATAAGTTAGCAATTCAACAATTTGATGTAAAAACAGCTTTTCTTAATGGTTATTTAGAAGAAGATATTTTTATAGAAGTACCTGAGGGAGTTAAGTTAAATAAAAATTGTGTATTAAAGCTTAATAAATCCCTGTATGGCTTGAAGCAGGCTCCTCGTTGTTGGAACAAAAGATTTAGTAATTTTCTGTTAAAATATGGCTTTGTACAATCTCAAGCTGATAACTGTATTTTTGTTGGGAAGTTTAATAATATTAAGATATTTTTAATAATATATGTTGATGATGCTCTTGTAATATCTGCTAGTAAATTGCTTATTCAAGAGATAATAGAATATTTAAAGCAGGCTTTTAAAATAAAATTATTAAATTTAAATATTATGTGGGCATGGAAATTCAAAGAATAAATGATTATATTTATATTCACCAGAGGGATTACATAGAACAAATTATTGAAAAATTTTGTATGTCAAATGCTTATCCAGTAAGTACTCCAGCAGATCCAAATGTAATTGTAACTAAAAATGTTGATGAAGGTATCATAGATTTTCCTTATAGAGAAGCTATAGGATCATTATTATTTTTGTGTTCTGTTTCAAGACCTGATCTTTCTTATGCTGTGAGTCTATTAAGTAGATATGTAAACAACCCTGGTCAAGTACATGTAAATGCTGTGAAGCGTGTCATAAGATACCTAATTAATACTAAAGATTTATGTATAAAGTATGGAGAGGGTGGTGATTTAGTTGGTTATTCAGATTCAGATTTTGCTAGTGATATTGATACTCGTAAGTCTACAACGGGTTATATTTTTATAATGAATGGTGGTCCAATTACCTGGTCCAGTCAAAAACAAAAGACCATTGCTCTCTCTACTACGGAAGCAGAGTTCGTTGCTGCCTGTGAAGCTGCCAAAGAGGTATTGTGGTTGCAACAACTTCTGGTAGATTTAGGTGAGGATTATAAATGTGTAACTTTACTAGTTGATAACCAAAGTGCAATCAAACTAATAAATAACCCGGTCTTTCATAAAAGAACTAAACATATTGATATTAAGTATCATTTTATAAGAGAGAAGGCTGAGTTGGGCTTGATTAAAATTAAGTATGTTCCTAGTAAAAGTCAGTTGGCAGATATTTTCACTAAGACTTTACCAACTCAGGTTTTTATTACTTTAAGAGATAATATTTTGTTTTGTATTGAATAGTTTCTTTTAAATATGTTTATTGTTTGAAGAGTGTTATATTTTAGTGGGAGTATTGAATTAATAAAATATAACACTGGCTGCTTTACAGTGTTTAGTTTTTGAATAGTTCTGCCAGGTGGCACTTTATGTTTTTGTTTCGTTCTGTTGTTGTTCTTACCTTTCATAGAAGTATGTGCAAGTAAATAAAAGTAAATAATTATTTACAAGAATACAATCTTTTATTAGAATTCCTAGCCCCTAACTCAATATAAACACTTACTATCAGTGTAGAAGTGCTCTGTAAACGAGTGTTTATGCAAAATGTTATGACGTGAAATAATGAAGACAAATCGTATTAAAAATGATAGATAGCAATAATGGATTACAATAAGAGTAAAGTTATTTGAAATTGAATTAGATTACAACCAATGTGGTAACAATACTTATTGCGTACTTTTTTAAATATAAAACTCTGTTCTACTTTTATTTATTTTTTCATGTGTCGTGTGAAACATTACAATAATTTATGCGTTGATCACACAAATAGCTGTTGCGTGCGGGAATTGAACCCGCTCTATGAAGAAAGTTAGTCAAAATTTGAATGTTAAAATATTTGTCAGTGTAAATGTAATGTAAAGAAATCTTACCCAGTAGGATTCAATTCTTCAGCGATGACTTTCTTAGAGAATACCTGCCAGTTGAGTTTTTGTGCGGAGTCCACAATATACTCGAGTGCCCACTCCAAAATGTAGGGCGCTTGCGCCAACTCTTGTAAGTTTATGCTAAGAAAATAATAAATTGTTAGTATGCATGTAATATAACGATGAGATGACATTTACAGTAGAAGAGCTTCTAATAAAATGATGATACAGAACCTTACATTTAAAATATTTTTCAGTACTTAAACTTTAGGTACATTATGACCAAGGGCACATTATTATGTCACGTTTCCTGACATATACTTAAACTAGGAGTAGTTTTTAGAGTTGATTGCGCGACACTCGTCGTGTTGTGTGTTGCGTTATGCTACTCATGGCTATGAGTCCCTGGCGTGACTTGAAACCAGTCGAGTCTGTCGAATAAATCTTCAATTAGACTAATCGAAATTTAATCAGACATTGTGAAATAGTTAATCATATTTTAATATATAACACGAGTAAATCGTTTAACATAATTACATAATACAACATGTAATAAAAGTTTAATTAAACAACATGTAATTTAAGTGTGGGAGAGCCATGCTTCGGCACGAATGGGCCGGTTCGACCGAAGTGATAGTGAGCTTCACAGAAAACCGACGTGAAGCAACGCTTGCGTTGTATTTCGTCGTGTGAGTGAGGTTACCGGAGGCCCAATTACCCTCCCCTTCCACAATCTCCCCAATCCCTGAATTCCCAACGATCCTCAAACTCCTAATCCCCCAAAAGGCCGGTAACGCATTTGTAACGCCTCTGGTGTTCCAGGTGTCCATGGGCGCCGCCCATTGCTTACCATCAGGTGATCCGCCTGCTCGTTTACCGGCTTGCGCCATAAAAAAAGTTATAATATCAATGTTGTTTAGATGGGTCCAATGTATTATATATGGATTTTGACAAACCTGATATGTTCACTGGAGCCGACAGGATATATCCGTGCAGTAGGCCAGCGCACGTTGGCGCAGAAGTCCGTCGGGTTGGTCGCGCAGTCCAACATGCCCACGCGCACGAACTTCAGCGGACGTAACTAAAAGTGACATATTATTAGTAAATGGAGTTTTTACAATAACTATATAGTTACCTATTGTTCAAATATTCGCTAGGAGTCAAGAATACAATAGTTTTCTATGCAAAAAAGTACAAATAATTTCGTCGCATTCCAAACTAATCAAATTGTATAGTATTGTATCTATTTATCGGCAGGTTTCCTAGACATAAGCGGGGTTTGCCGTAACCTCTTGTCAGACAAGGTTGTAAGCCAAAAGGTGACGATCTTTTATTCGGCTGTTGCGATACTTGTGGGAAGGAAAGAAAGAAAAAAGTTTATTTGGACCGTAACTAAAATTAAAAAATAAAACAAGAATAATAGTTTTAAAAACAGAACAGTGTACACGGTGCAAAAAGGCCAGTGCTTAACTAAAATGCCGTGTCACGAGCGCGATATAGCTCGAGTCGCGGTGCTGATTTTCAGCACTAGCCCGTTGCTAGAATATTATACAAACCAATAAAAAAAATAAGGAAGGGGGGAGGCAGGGGGAGGCGGGGGGAGGGGGGGGGGAGGAGTGGTGATAAGATAACCTACTTTTTGACCACCGTATAGCTTACATCGAATTAAAATCTAGATTAGCATTTATTTTAAGTAATTAATTTGTCTAACAAAATACTCACTTTCTTAGCGACCACCATCCACTCATAAGGCAGGTTATCGCACGTATACCCGCACGGTTTGCCGGACGGTACGAATGCGATCAGCCACGTGTACTTGCGGGACGATACGTGCATTATTTCCAGGAGTTGTTTCTCGGATAGTTCTATGTCTGTTAAGGAACCAAATTGTTTTATTATAGGTGTCAACTAGTCCTTAATGATTAGTATTAATAACATATTTAGGAAATATACAGACTCAATAAATATTGAGAAAAGTTATTTAGATTCACCCTTTTATTCACTATTTGGATTATGGCTTTATGAGTCCCATGTAATAGGGGGTGAGCCTATTGCCATATACCGGGCACAATTCTAGACTCTGTGCTACTACTGAGAAAATCCAGTAATATTTTGCCCGACCCGAGAATCGAACCCGAGACCTTTTGCTTAGCTGTCGCACTTGCGATCACTCGGCCAAAGAGGCAGTCCGGATACTATAATAATACGACTGGATGTTATAATACGACTAATGTTCAGAATTAATATAATATCAACACATTTACCTTGACTTTTAACAGCCATGTCAATAAAGTCCGTCATCAAGGTCCCGTAGTCTTGCTTGTGGTACGTTTTGCGCCTGACGCCCTGTTGTATTACTATTACAGGCTGGTGCGATACTTGCGTACAGTACTGCGCTGCCTTAGCACTGCATGACATTATGCCGAACTGCAGAAACAAAACATTTATAAGTCATGAAGAAAGATCACATACGCGCTGGACCGATCACGTCACCAATCGGCAACAGGAAAACCAGTGTCAGACTGCGCCAGACAGTCCACAAACAGGGTTTTTTTAAGGGGAAAAATCATCGAATGACTCCTCCCGTCTAGGTGAGGCGGAAGGGAGTGTCAGACTCTTACTGACTAAAAACCACCCCGTTCTTTCTCCTGCACGTCGAGCCGGAGCCCCGGTAACCCGTTAGGTTCTCTGCGACTCCGACCACAAACAGGGTAAGAGTGGGAGATCGTGAGGAAAGCAGTGTCTGCCTCCAACACAAATACAAATACAAACCTTATCGTCATCATGACTGCTCTGCCAAGAGTGAAACGACAGAAAATGTGAAAGGAGAGTCATGCTTCAGCATGAATGGGCTAACTAGAACGGAAAGATACCACGGCCGAGCAGGAAGCCGGCTCGAAACGTTTGTCCTATAAGTGAGATTGCCAGAGGCCAAGGGTGTGGCCCCGGTTGCTTACTATCAAATGACTCTTCTGCTTCTTTACCACTCTATGCCATACAAAAATATAATGCTATGGAAGAAAAATAAATAAGAGTATACTTACATTAATATTCTCATTTTCCAGGTGGTCTATGCTGGCCTGTGTGAACGGCTCGACGATGTGTTCCCATTGAGTGCCGTACGGAGCCAGGAGTAACACCCAGACACTTGTGTCCTCTATAGATATATATTAGAGATATAGTACCTATATTGTATATGACAAATTTTTTTATAGTACTTGGTTTAGAAGAGAAGAGAAGAATAGAATATAGAGAGAGATAGGAGGACAGAGAGGGAGAGAAATTAGAAGGAGAGGGGTAGAGGGGGAATGAATAAACATAGGTAGAAGAAAAATAGAGATTGGTATGGAGATTATGTTTGTCAAAAATCGAGATTCTATCTTTCCTTTTTTTTAAACGTTGTCCCACACTAGGATCTTCTCCTATGTCGTGGATGCGTTTACAAACATACTAGTTCACACACACATGACACCCAGACCCGGAACACCAATCTGTGGATCACACAAAGAGTCGTTCGGTGCGGGAATCGAACCCGCGACACGTTGCGCGGCAGCCGTGCAGTCAGTGACGAATAAAGTAATAAAGGATGAAGTCATTAGCGGACGTTTAAATGAACATTTCGTGAAGTTTGAAGTACTTTTACAAAAATAAATAAAATAACAACTACATACCTCCATTCAATATCCTCTGCAGATCCGAAGGGGACAATGTATGAAGGTTCAGTGCTGCAGTAGCAGTTTGTAAGAAGTCTCTTACATCAGCACTAGGAGGGGCTCGTTGGTAGACCCCCCCCTTCTTCATGACTCCCCACGCAGGTGCAGACTCCACGTGTAGTGACGCACATAACTCTGGCATTTTATCGCAGTTTATTTCACCTGGAATAGTATTTAAGTTAATAATTACTGTCGATCAAATACTAAAAGGCTACTCAATTTATAGTTGTAATTAAATAATAAAACACATACATAACCATGCAGAAAGCTGCAATTCTGAACACCTGTCGTATTGTTAGGAAGTTTTTACATGAAGAGACCACCGAACAGGTGCAATTTCATATTATTACCCATCTTATTGATTTCGAGAAATTATAAATAATAATAATAATTCTTTATATAGAATAGAATAGAATAGAATAGAATCTTTATTTGCATAAAATGTAGGTACATAATGGTGATAATAATAACATAGTCAAGGTGCCATATACATCTTGCCGCTTGGCGACATGCAAATCTTTATACAGTTCAAACATAGTATAAAGAACAAAGTAGGTTATCTTCATACAAATGCTCCGCGCGCGGCTTATATGTGTGCGCCATAGTATCTATGCGTCGACGCACGCACACTATAACAAAATCTCGACCCGTTTCTCAGTGCGCCAGGCAGGGCTGACACTGTACGAGGATTGCGCGCGCTTCACGGCTTTTCGGCACTGTTCAATGAAATAAAAAATGTCTGATAATCGTAGAAGAACGTATTTGCTGTGTGTTTGGGTGTCTTAATAATTAATCGATTCCAGAACTGTCTCTGTTCAGATTAGGTACCTATTGAACAGGAAAGGTAAGCTAGTCACTTTTTCTAGCATAATATAATTTGTAGGTACTTGATGATGAGATACCTACTTACTTATTCTTACTCTTATCATTCTTCATAGTTCCTACTCAACCAGAAATGTAATTACCTACTTTACTTAAATATTATAAGAAAATGTGGTATTGTATTGTTTATTTCACAGTTTATCTGATTTGTTAAGAGCGTAGCCGAGTCGCAATTTTCCATATAAATGTATTCCCAAATTTACTTTCTGAATACTATGTATAGAGCTAAAGTTTATTTTAAGAAGTTAATAATCTTTTTATAAGCTTTTAATTTTTACTAAATTTATAAATTGATAAAATATTCAATCATAATATGCTTTTCATTTCATAAATTTAGATCAAGTGCTGCTTGTTCGAAAATATTAACTAAAAGTAAAAGTGACAACCCTGGGGATCAACGCAAGAGTAGGCTAATAACTCGGCGGGCGGCCTTAGATAACCTACTGTGTTCTTTCTACTATGGTTCAAATACTTATCACAGAAATAGAACATTTAACAATTTATCTAAATTATAAGTTTACAGTCTATACCTCACAGATCGCTCACAATTGTAGAATTTACATGGGTTTTTTGCTAGAAATTCGTCAACTGAGTAAAAACATTGCTGACATAACCATTTTCTTAGCATTACACTAAATTTATTTGAAGGTAGTCCGGAGATAGTTTTTGGTAAAGAGTTATATATTAAGGGACCCATGTAAATACAGCTTCGTCTAAATAACTCTAATCTAGGAACAGGTAACTGAAATTCTAGATGAGTAGCTTTTCTTTTATTTACATTATTGTTAGACACAAAAAATTGAGGATTATTTTTCACAAATTTAGAAATCTCGTAAATATAAATACAGGGAACCGTTAAGAGGCTATTTGATTGGAATGCGGGTCTACATGAATCACACCAGTCAACATTAAACATTGCACGAACACACTTCTTCTGGACAATGAACACTCGTGATATATCCGAAGAGTTTCCCCATACAATGATACCGTAGCGGATAACTGAGCAAACGTATGCATGGTATACCATTAAGGCAGTTTGCATGGATGTTATACATGTAATTTAATGTATTCATATACCATCATATAAATACATCAAGCTGTATCTCCTGAACTAAGCGTTGACTGTATCTCTGGAGGCAGTACCTTCCCGTTAAATTTCTGGTACGAATAGTGGTTACAGAACAGAAGGCTAAATAACAAAAAAATACCATCTTTGTCATTTTACAAACAATTTGAACAGAACTATACTTGGGCTCGTCTTAAAATTGAGTGGTATTTTGACATAAGCTATTTATTCTGATTATAACATAACAACACGCCTTTTAACAATCATACATACATACATAACCTTACGCCTGTCTCCCATGGGGGTAAGCAGAGACTTTGGAATGCCAATTAGTAATTGGCATTCCAAATTGGCAATTACATACCTATTTCGCTTCATCAAGAGTAAAAACAAATACACACTTAGCAATCAAATTGTTAATAATACTTACTTCATTTTGAACATGTTAACCATAAATAATATTGAGCTACAATTTTATTATTTCGTTGTGCATAGAACTTACCGAAATTCATAGCTGGGAATGCATTAATCATCTGATGCAGCTGTAATCTATTCTTGTTTTTAGTCGAAAAGAAGAAAGCCCACGTCTTTTGTGATCCTGACCGCAAACTGTTTCTGATTTTCTGTACAGGATAACAAAAACATTAATATGAGACAAAATGATAAATTACTATTTAAATATCTTCATGTCATGAATAGCGACGTGGAGTCAGTGAAAAAATTATTTCTATAATTTCTGACTCAGTAATCAGTTAGAGCAGTCAGCAGTCAGAGGAGTCGCTTAATTAATTTGATTTTAAGTTTAGTTTTAGTTTTTTCAAGCTATGATATTGGACGCAAAAATTTGTGATATCAATTTTTTGCAACTTGCAATCTCATACAAATTTAAAATCGTATTTGCCAGTAATCATCACTCCTATTACGATAAGATCAAAGCGAATAAAGTATGAAAAAACTAGATATTCGTTTTATAGACAACACTATATACTGGAGGCTCAGTTACCCACCCTCCCCGATGTCCCCAATCCCTGAACCCCCAACAATCCTCAAATTCCTAATCCCCAAAACTGGTAATACACTTGTAACGCCTCTGATATTTGGGGTGGTCGATTGCTTACCATCAGGTGATTCGACTGCTCGTTTACCATCCCATACGACACTACATACCTTAAATTTCTCCGGCCCAATAACTTCAACTTTGGGTAAATAACGAACGATATCGTCTACTATTTCATCTTCTTCCACACTTTCTATTTCCTTGGTAACATCCTTGTATTTATACACAACTGTCGCATGTTCATTGGATGTCAGTTTTTTACGAAGGTCCTCATCTTCTACTATAGCGAAGGTTACTACGCCATTCTGAAAGGAAATTAAAAGTTAAACTACATGTAATAGGGGGTGAGCCTATTGACATATACCAGGCACAATTCCAAACTCCATGCTACCACTGAGATTTTTTTAAAAACCCAACCCTTGCCTAACTTTTGTGTGCAAAAGAGTTAATAAATAAAAAAAATATAGACAGTAGACAAAGTCGGTATAAAATAAGACTAATAAAACTATTGTGGAGGTAAGCAGTGCTATAGAAACTTTATAGTTATCTTTAGCAGGCAGTGCGCAATCCCTCTTTAGGGTATTAAAAATACGGTGGCACATTGCATTTATAAATACACACAGCAAACCAGCAAGAAAAAATAATTCCACTGTTTCACTGTAAGAAATTGGTTACGGTTCTCAGAGGCCAAATCCCTTCCTTCCTCAAAAAGTTAGCACCGCACAGAAACTTATCTAGTGTTACCATGGCGACGCCCAATGCTTACGATATATTTTATATTATAGACTATTACGTACAATATTACAGTCGGTCTACTGGCATGACTGCACGGTTGGTGCGGTGGCTGGGTATCTGGCATCTGGCTGCCGTGCAACGTGCCGCGGGTTCGATTCCTACACGGAACAACTCTTTGTGTGATCCACAAAATTGTTGTTTCGGGTCTGGGTGTCATGTGTATGTAAACTTGTATGTTTGTAAATGCTCCCACGATACAGGAAAAAATCCTAATGTGGGGCAACGTTTTTTTTTTAAAAAGAAATGTTATAAAGATGATATCTAGAATATACTCACCAAATGAAAAGCGATCCTAGTGAGGTCATTCCTTTCAATCATAGTGGAACCTAGCACGTACGCCATGCGTTTGTCCTTGCTTCTAAGCTGGTCTATAGTGGGTATGTTCATATGGTTGCGTAGGAACATCATTATGTATTCCTCCAGAGCCTCCAGTTTCAAATCTCCATTGTAGTACACGACACCGCCTCTTTTGCCCTGTTAATAGAAATCTTATCTTAGACTATTGTATAAAGCTGAAGAATTTGTTTGTTTGAACGCGCAAATCTCCGAAACCACTGGTCCGATTTCAATTTTTTTTTGTTTTTATTATTACTTTCGTGAAACATACTAATTATAATGTTTTCAGCTTACTCACGTAACTGTTTGACGAGAGTTTCAGCAGCAGCGTGACAGTCGCCGCTTCGTGGATCGCGGAATGCTGCTCATGAATATGAGCCTCTAGCATGGCTTGAACTTGACTAGTCGAGTTCTTCGTCAAACAGTTACGTAAGTAAGCCGTAAACATAATAATTAATTATTTTTGTGTTGGATAGTCCATTTAATGAGGAAGCCTATAAAACATCACGCTACTTTTTTTTTAAGGACGGAAATTCATCGAATTGTTTCTCCCGCCTGGGCGAGGCGGGAGGAAGTGTCAGACTCTTGCTGACTAAAAACCACCCCGTTCCTGCTCCTGCACTTCGAGCCGGAGCCCCGGTAACCCGTTAGGTTCTCCGCGGCTCCGTGTCGGCATCAGCCCTAATTGGGCCTCATCCGTGGTGGTCTGATGGCTCTTTAAGCCGTACGCTACATAACGCTACTATCAATAAGCGCCGAGCAGAGTTAAGCCGCGCAGCAGTAGCCAGTGTAGGTATATGATTGAATAATCCCTATGTATCAATATCTCTTATGAGATACGCGAGTATCTCAGTAGACTGTGAAGTCTACCAGCAGAATTCACAGGTTTTTCATTCTGTTTTTAATAAGATCCCGTCTTAAATCTGTAGCCAGCCACAAAAGCTACTTGTGTAATCAACAAATTGTGGTAAATAGGTGTGAAATTAATATTGGTATGAGATTTAACATTTCTATTAAAAACTACGAAGTCCGATAACTAAGTATATTTTTTAATTATGTAATTAAAAACACACCATGAAGGTATAAATTATGGCGACCAATAGAAATAGAAAGCGAAAGATAAGAATGCCATAAACGCCATTTTATTAATAATTAGCATCAAGTCACGGTACTCGTAACTAAGTTATAGCATACGTAATTGTTTAATTGCCTTGAACATGTTGTTTTTGAAAATTCTCTTAGTAGTACAAAGTCTACAGTTATAACAATAACAATAACAATTAACTAGGGGGACCAATAAACTGTGTTTCACTTAGAAATATTTTCTGAGCTTTTATGTTATTTTTTCTTACATAAGAACCTTCTCCTAACAATAACAAACTTAAAAAAAGGAATTAGCGAAATCGGTTCAGCTGTTTTCGAGAATTGAGCTTAGCAACACATTTAGCAATTAATTTTTATGAAGATAACTGATAACATATTTTACACAGAGTTAGGTGTCGTCCTATTTAGCATTCTAGTTACCATTGTACGTTTGAAGGAAGAACGATGCGATGAGGTTAAACACACATTTTTCTTTTGAGTGTCCCAATTGACGCTGGCAAATCATCGCCCGAGCACAGGGTTTAATTTCCTCATGCGACGAAATCGCATCGTTCTATTGTACGATGGTTAGCCAATTTTTTTTATATTGATGTAAAAACATATGTATCATTTAGAGAACTACTTAGTAGAAATATAGGTACTTACGTTAGGATAAAATAAAAGTGTCGGATGACTGTGAATACGCATTCGGTTGAAACAAAACTGAGGTTGAATTTTACAGTTTACAGCAGCTATATTAACCTGGAAAATAATTCAATTAATTATTAATTGCTGAAATGGTCTGGTGGTTTGGTGAAATGGTCGCAAGGGGTCATAAAAAGAGAATATAACTTACAATTCCATTGTACACTTCTGCTAACTTCTTCCAACTGCTTGCTAAATTACGGCAAGGCGGGCAGAATGGTGAATAGAAGTTTATGAAGTAGAATCCATTCTTCAAGTAGTTGTCTGTAATATAAAAGTGTAGTTTGATATATTTTTGGATTTCGGTGGGTCATCAATAATCACTCATCATAAAGGTGTTGAGTGAAAATAATATTTATTCTGCAAAGTTATTTCATCAGCCTGCATATAGCAACACAAAGCGAACTAAACTACCATTTACACTCAATAGTCTTCCCACACATTTGTAAAATAGGTCGAGAACCATTTAAATGAAATGTATTAAACAGGCATACATGACAGTATTAGATAAGGTCATTAGTAGTGGAATTTAAATCCTACTTGTATAACCCTTAAATTAAAATACTAGAAAGTTAAGTATTACTTGAGGGTGGAAATCATCCAATGACTTCTCCTGAGAGAGAGTGTCAGACACATTTCTTATTGAGATGGGAAAATCATCCAATGGTTTCCCCCGCTCGAGTGAGGTGAGAAGGAGTGTCAGACTCTTACTGACTAAAAACCACCACATTCCTACTCCTGTTTGGAAACGGAGCACTGGTAACTTGTTAGGTTCTCTGCAGCTTGGAATGAAAATTATAGCTATGGTGACCTTTTATAATCAAACAACCTTTGTTGCAAAAATACAGTCTACAGAAAAATAAAGGTCACAAGAAAGACAACATGTTATAAGTCAATAGTCAATAACACATTTTCATTTAACACTAATACACAACAAGTTATTATTTCTGAAAGAATTCTATTGTGTTGAAAACATAATTATTATCTTTTGAATAACTTGTTTTTTTTATATCATTTTAATAGCATTTACAATAGCCTGTCATGGTTTTTACATAACATAACATCATGCTTTTATACCCGAAGGAATAGGCAGAGGTGCATATTATGGCGCTTAATGTCATTGGACAATGTAACACCCACTTTTCACTATTTATGTTACGAGTCCTATGTAATATAGTATGAGTTTATTGCCATATACTGGGCACAATTCTAGACAGTGTTACTACTGGGAAATTATTCAAAACCCAGTAATACTTTGTTTTCTCATAGGTTTTATTTTAACCCATAGAAATGCATCCCCTAAAATTGTTCATACAAAAGTTGTCTCTAAACATTGGAAATAAGGTCTATAATGTAGTTTGCGGAGAGCGGTCACCGGTGACAGCTTAGGGATATATGGGTTAAATGAAAAAAAGTGTTTGTTATACATATCTACATTTTCTTTTTCAAAGTATTGCCTGAGTGAAGAGGTGATAGTCTAAAAGAGAATAACAAATTGGAACACATAAAAACATTTGCCTTTCGGTCCTTCTATCAAATCAAATATCATCTAAAATAACTAACCTAGTGACGATGCAACCCTCAATTTATGAAGCGATTAATGAACATAGATGAAGCGAAAGACATACAGTAGGATTCTGTTTTTTGGCGTTCATTCATTCGCGCTTCGCTTACCATCAGGCAAGATAAAGGCCAATAAGGAAAAGAAAATACATTCTGCCTGATATAAGTTAATCTAAATAGAAATATACACACATACATATAGGTCCAACTGTGATCTTCCTTTTTTTAAAGTCGGTTAAAAATAGTTTACTTTCTATACTTACTGAAATTATCTTCGTTCAAGTTGTCTACGAAGGGATCGTTATGATATAGGCCATCATGTAATAGTCTATCATACTCTTCCCCAGAATAGAATGGTTGCTTGTGCATAAAACTATATGCATTGTTAGATCTCTTCTCTGGATCTTTCAATGCTTCGTAAGCTTCTGTTATTTTTACAAACATTTTGTGAGCTTCTTCGGTCTAGGAATTAAAGATTTTTTGTTATTATGTACTTCAAATAGAACTTATATTTTACAATATAAAATAATACAAAGGATAAAAGTTTATTTTTATAAATTAGAGAACGCTTATGTAGATGCCCTTGCTATTAAGTCCAACTAGTGTGTACAAAATTCATATGCATGAAAAAATTTTATAATAATAATTGTAAAAAAAAACAAACACATCACACAGAGAAAAGTAAAAGAAGAAGTTACATCATTTCAATTAAGTTTTATAAAATTTCAAGGAAAGGTCATCTAACATAATACTATGACCTTTAAGAAAGAGCATGTGGGAGGTGAAGTGTAGTGCTAGACTTTAAAAAAATTGTCTATTTACATAGTTATGTAGTTTCATAATAAGTAATACACATATTTACACTTAGCTGTGTTACTTTAATACAATTGTGTTTAAATTGATTTACCAGATGTGTTGAATCGAAATTCGGATGGGTATGGATATAATGTTATTATTATTTAGTAATTGCCTATTCATTTAAAATTAAAATCTGTTCTCAGTATTTTCTTACTATATATTTGATAGTCAACAATGTATAACTAGTTAGATACTTACAGGATTTTTATCCGGATGGTATTTAACCGCAAGTTTCTTATAAGCTTGTTTTATCTCCCCTGTTGAAGCTACTTTTGAAATCCCCAATACCTCATAATATTCTTCATAATTTAATGAGTTAACCACGCCGATTAGAAAACACGCGAGGAGTAGGTGTTTCAACCTAAAACAAATTGTCAATTAATTTCATTTACAGAGGAAATGAACAGCACAGATTTCAATAAAAGCTTCATCGAGTTATACTTACATTTCCGAAAAGTTTTATGTTCGTATTTCTTGTGATAATTTTGACTGATAACTTTACGGTATTCAGTAGAATCACTGGTATTTTAATAATTAGAGCAACGCTAGATAACACCGTTTATACACGAAATAAGATAAAAGTGAACTGTTTACTTTTCGTGTAGGAGTCGGCAAAGTAGGTAGTTACGTTGACTGAAGTTTGTAGAACTTTTTTTATCAACACAACACACGATCTCAAGTGACAGATGAGAACATGAATGAATGAATGACACATGACACGAGCAAGCACAGACAGACCATAAGGTAACCGGCATAGACTATGCACTCTAAAATATGAGTGTTATCCAGTCGAATAATAATTGATTTCGATTTAAAAAAAAATCTACAAAAGTTTGTACTTTACACAATATTGTTATTGTGTATCCATTGTGTACCTATTGTATTACAATCAAGTAAATTCATGTCGATTTTTGTGATTTTTAGGTTTTGGAATATGATTAGTAAAAGTAGTTTAGTTCCGTGTAAAACCACTATACTGTCATGGTAGCGCTAGTTGCATATTATCGAGTCTGTGTTTATCTGTGGTATTCTTCATTTCTTTTCCGGTTTGAACTTTGCCGGAAATTCGGCATGAAAAATAAATCTCTAATTAGATTTTTAATAAGTTTCTTGATTGGAACTTGGAAGTTCCGAATACTCACGATAGTTTTAAGATTAAGTACGATTTTGCAATAAAAATGTATTAAAAGACTCAGTACCCGATTATTAAATAATGTTAGTGAAGATACTACGATTGTCCTGTTCGATGCCTGATTTTGTTCTTCACTCTAATATATAAATTTTCATAAGAAATTCCTATTAGGAACAGAAAATGCTTTTAGTTAGGTAGGTATATTGATAATAATGATAGGTATGTAGGGCGTTTACTACATGAGTCCTGAAACACGGAAACAATACCTACTTATTGACATGCCAACGCATTTACTACTTATAACGCTTCTGATCTTACTATTAGGTATATATAAGTCTTACTATCAGGACCAACAACATAACATAACATCACGCCTTTTATCCTCGAAGGGGTAGGCAGAGGCGCACATTATACCACTGTACAATGTGACACCCACTTTTCACTATTTATGTTATGAGTCCCATGTAATAGGGGGTGAGCCTATTGCCATATACCGGGCACAGTTCCAGACTCCGTGCTACTACTGAGAATTTTTTTTTAAAAACCTAGTAATACTTTGCCCGACCCGGGAATCGAACCCGAGACCCCTTGCCCGGCAGTCGCAATTGCGACCACTCGGCCAACGAGGCAGTCAGGACCACTATGACTATATATCCTTAGCAGGTTTTTAGTCAGTAAGAGTCTGACACTTCCTCCCGCCTCATCCAGGCGGAAAAAGCCTTTTGATGATTGTCCCCCTTAAAAGATTAACGATAGAGTATTTCTTGCTAATTCTTCTCTATTCGAAACTACACTTTGAAACGAGTGCCTAGCTTCACTGACAGACAGACGGACGGACAATTAAATTTTTGACGTTTCAAAAGAGCCTAATTAAGGATTACTTGAAATAAATGCTTTGCCTTAAAAAAATTAAGTAGTCCATGTGGTCGTCAAGGTAAAGGATATGGTCGTCAGCCGACTTTCACTTACCGACTTAATTTAAATTACTACGGGGCGCGGGAACCCATTGCATTTGTTGTATCCTGCCTAAATTAGGAAATTGAGGAAGGGAAAGTTGAAATAAATGAACAGATATTAGACATTATTTTAATTGTTCGTCTTAATAATTAACACATTGTTTTCACATTGAAACCATATTATCTACGTAGTTACAAAAAATATTATTAACTATTGTGACTTTTTTAATACGCTACTTATTAAATGTTGTAAATACAAATGAACTTTTAATGGTTTACAGGCAAACCTGTAGGTTCATACATAGCAAAATAATTAACTAAAACTAACGGTTTACTTGCCTAAATACACTCAAAAGTTCTGCTAGTTTCGAGTCGCCGCGATTGCACATTCTGCTTATGACGAAGGGTTCCTTGTGACTCGAAATTAGTAGAGCTTTTCTCAGTACATTTAGGTACGTGAGTAAACCATTCATCATCATCATCAACAGCCTATAATGCCCACTGCTGAGCAAGGCCTCTTCTCACACGGAGAAGGTTAGAGCATTAATCACCACGCTTGCTCAATGCGGGTTGGCGATTTCAAACTTATAATTAGAAATTATAAGTCCAGGTTTCCTTACGATGTTTTTCCTTCACCGTTTGTCAGTGGTGTCTAAATAATCTTAGAAAGTACATATAACTCGGAAAAAGTCACATTGGTACTTGCCGTTGGTAGGTTTCGAACCCGCACCCTCATGCATGAGAAGTCTTAAACCTCCGGGCCACCACGACTCTAGAGTAAACCATTATTTTTACTTAATTCAGTATGTCTCACTATAGTTATTATAAAAACAAAATAATTGTTGGTAACGTAGTGATATTATTCTAAGTTCTATTTAAGGCACTTTGGATACCTTATTACAAACATACCTACTGAATAAATATATATTCCCTCCATATTCGCGTTTCCAAAAACACATACTTTAAGGAGAGCCACAATTTAAGTACTGACACGTACTTATATTCTAAAAGACGACTTATCACAGGAGTTACAACTTGCTCATATTAATATGACAATGTAGTGGTAACTAATTTCTTATTAATTAAAACTTAGGTACTACTTAACATTAACCAGATCCATTTAATCACACCTTTTTACCTACTACTATACCTAATACTTAAATACTTATAGCTACGTGTCGAAATATCGATTACAGAATCGATGCGCTATCCGATTTTAATTTCGAAACATCAATGCAGAATGCATCTCTGTTACGAATCAATAAATGCTTTTATAAAAATAATTACTCATTTAATAATTTATTACATGATTCCCACTTCACCAATAACCCTAAAATGACTTAGGTGTACGATTTAAGGCAATTACAATGTCTGCACAGCTGTTTTGAAACATGTTTAAATAAAAGCAATTAAATAACAGTGGTACCTACTTATATAATATTGGTAACCATATGGTAATTATATTTTATGGGTAAACATCAGTGTGTGTGTGTGTGTTTAGGTAATAAATAGGCTATATGCCTAGCAAGAATATAAAAATGATACAACCATGAGACCATAAAGGACTGAGGTTCACTTTAAGTAGGTATTTAAGCATTTTACTTACTGGCCTTTCCTACGTACTAAGCCATTGCACCTATATTTTTATTAAATCAGTCATGATGTAGTACCTACTTGTACAAATACATTTTATCACTTATATTCGAAACATATTTCTTTCACCACTTACTTAAAATAGGTGCCCAAAAAGAATTGGTCCTTAATTTCAACTTGATGCTCAATGGACCAACTTTAAATAAAATAATCATTATTGCCCGGTTAAACAGGTTACAACTTTATTTCCGGGGGCATAAAGTTGCTACACGTGTCATTCTGTCTCTAAGGTTTAACGAACTAAGGAAACTTGTAGAAGGTACTTTAGTATTTCATACTTTGTTGTATTGTAAGTTAGTCTTAGTATTTACATTAATTGTCATATATGTGGTATTGAAATAACCGGTATCTATGTTATATCATTATTCAAAAGTACTTTAAAGTACTTAATAGCATAGTATAAATAATAATTTTGACTAACTTATGTAGATGTTTTGACACTCCTCTTCAATGTGAAGTATGCCAATATCCTGACGAAGACTAGTTCTCCAAGTAGAATCCAAATGTCGATCCAATAGTTGTCCGGCTTGAGGCTGAATTCAGTGATGACTGTCTTCGGATGTCTGGAAATGAAAAATTATTGTTAGATTCCTAATGCTCAGTGGCGCTCTGTTTTTTATATTGGGGAGAGGGGTCATCCAATGAATTTGCCACGGGCCCCAAATGGTACAGTTACGCTACTACTACTACGTTGACTATATGATTGATCAATAAGAGAAATTACGGTTGTTATAAAAAGTCAATCAGAATTGGAGATTTCAATGCTCATTTTACTTTATTTAGGACGTGCATTTTGGCACGAGCTAAATGTTCTCTTAAGGACTGCGAGACATTTTTTATTTTTATAAAAGCTGCAAGTTATTGTAGAAACTAATTTTATTCTAAAAACTCGGATGAGGCCAATGTTCAAGAGTATCTCGTGATATCTCGTGGTTGATTTGATAGTGATGATAAAAAAATTTTAGCAACTTACTTCAAATGACAATACGTAATATCCTCGGGGCAGTTTAGGGGCTGCCGTCCATTGGAGTAAATAGCCAATACTAGAGCTTCGAAGGCATATCTTAGGAACGAAGCATGTGATACAGCTCGCATCACTGTGTTCATATGCGCTAGGAGGACCAGGTACCCTGCGTACACGATCATTGCACACGTCCATATCGCTCCTAGGAAAGTTCCATTCTGTAAAATAATGCAATAAAAGTGAAAAAATACTGCAGACGCCAAATTTCATGTTTAGATATAATGTATCTGAAGTTTCAAATGGTCCGGATAAAAACTGACCGATAAGTATGTATGTATAATTGTCTAAGTTTGAAGGAAAAGGATCTCCATTTAATTTCATGATAGTTGGTGGTCCTTTTGAGGTCCTAATGGTTGTTGGTCCTAAAACCGGCTGGAAGTTACAATTGTTCTTTTACAATTTTGGTCAATAATTTAGCGTGGTGAAAAGTGAGAATATAAATGGCCATAGCAAAAAGTTATTTTCTCTATTACCTTTTAAAGCATTACTTTTTTGACAATTTGGTATAGCTTAATTAATTAGTTCTACATAAATAGCCCTCATTTTAGAAGTCGTATACAAAGGTCAGGTGCAAACTAAAAGATATAAAGTGCGGTCTTTATCGACATTTGCCACGTGCAGCGACACATATAAAGACATTAAACAAAACTTATCGCCTGCCTTTGATAACAACATGATCTAATGTGCCACTGGGCTTAACCTTTATTACATAATTGCTACTATTTCATATGAATTGGGTTATTTGTAACACAAAATATCTTTAATAAGATAATAATTTATAATAGGTCAATTATTAACAAATGTCTCTATTTGAACTCTATTTTTCATCGTACACGTGAAATAAGCTTTTAATTTTTAAAAGTCGTAGTTAATTATGCATATATCCGAAACAGGTTATAAATAAAAGTACAATTAGCTATCATAAACGGGTATTAAAATGCAACGTTTTCAAATGTGATCGTATATCGGCAGAATTAATTCGAATTATTTTAAATTTAATTTTTTTTACTCAGCTAAGATCTTACTTAGCGAAGAATGCAAATAAAGTGAATTTTAAAAGTGTTGTCATTAATATACCTAGTATAATAATATCCTTTGCTGACGGAGAAAGTTAAAATTAATAATATACACGAAATTTTTTTTAGAAGTTGAAATGTTTATTGGATTTTAGGAAGCCTACTGGCCTATGGCAATGGCATTTATTAATATAATTATGTTGTGTTTATCATATTTATCAAGATTTTGAATTCTTCGACGAACCAATTAGAAATTCATAAAAATTCCACCAATACCTACGCAGAATCCGTAAGGATATATAAATCAGAATATATAAATTACGTGAGGTGATTTTTTAATTTTCTGTCCTTCCCTCCCCCTGGTGCGATTTTATTCAACATAGGGAAGGGCCCAATCCCCAATCTCACGTGAGATTCTTCAAAATGTTGGTTATTCAAGTAAACGCGTTGGATTGTTATTGTAAAAAAATATTTGCTTACTGCTTTTATTTACGACTAGTTAAGACTAGTAATCAATATTACTGAGAGTTTTATGTGTAATAAAAATGTAACAATAGAATAATACTATACGTAAATGTAAAATGAACGATAAATGTAATATATATAGAACAAATGGATGTACAATTAAATCTTATGCATGCACAATCTGGATTAAATGGACTAAAATAGTATTTTTTTGTTTCAATCAGAAAAAAATTACGTGATATTTGCCGAGACCCCCCTCTCTCCAACGTAAGCTTAGATGAGATTTGAGTCTTTAACATCTCAAATAATTTATTGACGCCAAACAACATTAGCATGAATTTAAGTCGGACTGCCACAAGGTTCTATTCTAGGTCCATCACATTTTTTAGTCAAGGTGACTTACCACAGGGTTGAAGCATGTTCCGATGACGTTGCCCATGGCTTCGGCGAGGAGTGCCACGTTGGCAAGTGCGATGACAAACATGATAAACCTGTACGGTTCAGCCGGTTGCCCAGATAGGAAGTATGATGGTACTGAATAGACGAAGCTGTAGATAATCTGTAGAACAGAGAAAAGGTGAAGGTGAACTATTTTGTAACTGATTAATGTTTGTAACAGAATAATCAGTGTTAACTAATAACAATTACTGTTTTTAGAAGTAGTAAGATGCGAGTTAGCCTACATCAAATTCATTAGCAGCAGGTATAGATCCGCTAAAAACTTTCACCTTAATAACAATAAAATCTGAGAAGCTCATTTACGAAAATAATTTTACATTTGTAAATAAGCTACTCAGATTTGTACATAATAATATAATTTTATCAGACTACGTTTTTTTGTATGTACATAAACAATCATTAAAGTGATATAATTTTCATATCAAAAATGTTATAATGAATATTGTCATAATCTGCCAACTAGCTCCGTCCACATTTGGAAGAGTGGGTGACCTTGGAGCTTTGTGCTCGTTCTTCTTCAAAAGACCAGCGAATAGATTTAGTAGATTAAGATTACCTTAAAACTGTTAAAAAGACATTAAAACTATTATTATGGTGTTTTGGTATAAACGCTTTAATTTTAGTTTTAAAGATTGACGTAAATAAATGCTTATGACTGGCTTTATTTTTTGCAGTATTAACGTGAGTTACCATTTACTCTGTTTTGTAACCTTCACACATATACTCTTTGACAATTTCCATTTCTATGCACGTGTATTGATAATTTATGAGCTCGTTATGTCCACAATTATGGGACACTCTGATTTAATTACAGCACTTTACTTGAATAGGCTTGTGGTCACCGATTATAAGCGGTACCCACGAAGATTCAATTATAGACTAAGGGTAATATGCGGCTATATGATGCCACATGATAATATGCAACTAAACAACGTGCAATATTATGAAAAGACGGAAATAAACAAAACCAATGGTTTACGATGAAACTTTAATTGAGGACGCCTTAACTAATTAAAGTGGTTTTGAAGCTACATTTGTTATCTGGACTCTATTGTTAAAGCGAAAGGGAAAAGAGGAATAGCCTTCTAACTAGAACAATTTTAAGATTACATTTTCAACAGTTTCTATGGGAGCCAATTAAGGAAGCGCTAAATGACTAGCTAATATAAGAGCCACACTTTGTTTAAGTCCTTAACATGAGTTGAATTCGCAATTCACAATAGCTATTTTTTTTTTATTATTGAGTCACTTAAAACGAGTCTTTTAGTTTTATGAATTACTAAGTCAATTAAGGTTGGTCTAGCTGGACTAGTATTACCTAATGTGTTTGTATGTCTGATGTCTGTGTTTATCTTACCTGCAGGGGCATACCGGTGACAAGCAGCGCTGCATAGTACGTTTTAAGATTGTACCAGTTGTTGAAGTTCTCTTTCTTCAGAACTGACATCTCGGTTGGTACTAGAAAGAAGCAATTTGGTTTTATTAATTTTCATGCCACCACTTATTGATGTGAGCAAGTTGAGTGAGTACCTATAATATCAAAGGTTTTGAAATAAATTTACTAATTCCGAATTAAAATAGGTGTTACTCGTAGGTTAGATCGAAGCTTGACATTTTCTGAAATTGTTTAATGGTATTGAATTTGAATTTTATACATTAAATTTTGATCCGAGACACGTTCAATTTAAAGCTACTCAATTCTTTCTCCCACATATGAATGTCGCATCTGACTGTTTTTGCGGTTGATGGGTTCATTACTCTTTAGTACCATTTAGCGAAAAAAAAAATACGGGTCTAAACAAAAATTTCAACTAATCTGCACGATTGGCAAAAAAATGTGTATTGTTATTTCATTGATCTAGCTGGTTGAATTCAGTAGGTAAATGAATAAACACTAAGATCAAAAAAATAAAAATATATAATTGAAAACCGGATTTTTATGAATTTTTTTTATTTATTCGAAAAAGCCATCAAAAATTCAAAGTAACTGAGTGGTAAGATTAGTCTTAATAAAACTCGTTTTAAAATCTTATTGGATATTCTATCAAGCCAGGTACTAGACAGTAAATTATTAGTTATTCAAAAATGCAAGCCTGTTTTGGCATTTATTTCGAAAATCTATTTTTGATATTAGTATTTTTTTGTGAATTAAATTGATGTAAAGGCTTAACCTTGTCATTTTTATTAATGTAATCATTTTTTCGTTTACATTTGCTACGTATGATTTTAAGGGATCACAAATAATTTTGGTCCTAGGTTCCGCAAGGCAATATTTAGGATACCTGTCTATATGAATATAAAGACTAGCTCAATATAAAAACTAACTCTTTACATATACATATAGTTATGTATTTTCACAGATTGTATACTAGCAAAGATATATAACTGTAGTTTGAAAGCAACGTCAAGTTGTGGAGATAAAAACAAAAGAATTATAGTCACCATCTAACAAAAAAAATTACCTAAAGTTGCCTTGAAGTTCAACATTCTGTCTCTGAGTTATAAGATACCCTGATTTGGCCCTGACCAATTGCAGGTCGCCCTAGACCGGTTAGTAAGTTAAGGTCCGGATAACTTGCGTCTTAGAAATAAGAGTACCTTGACCCCAAGAACGTGGCAAACGATGAGCTTTGCAAAGATTTGATTGATTTACGTTTCAAAAAATTTTTTCTTCTATTGAAGGTCAATGTATTCAAGTAAAAGTTGTTAAGTCATAATATAATTGTTAATTAAAGAATATAGTATTGTGTACATGTCTGATATAAGCAGACCTTTTTTGGCCTGTTGTGCTTTTGATTACAAATTTTTTTTTGAGAGATTTAAAAACTGGAAAGCTCACTAACGGTATCCGAAACCAGATAGCAAACAAAATTACAAAAACTGTTGCAGCTCAAAGCTAAGCAATTAAAAGTCAAAATAAAGTTCATGGATAAAATAATATACCTATCTGATTGGACTAAGTCAATCCTCTTAGAACATAAATAAATCAGAACTCAATAAAAGTAAAGTTCATATGATATGAACTTAAATACTAACTAGGCAACCTAGACACAGATTTGTTTTAGAATGGAAACTAAAACCAGTAGAAGGTCAGGGTTTCATATGAAGTTAAAAATAGTTTTTTCATAATTTATACTTTAAGTACCCACCACAGAGGATATTTTTCTAATTACCGTCTTAGATTATTGCGCTATTAATGTTTAACTTAACAAGAAGTAGCTGTCTAATGATGGTAATTAATTGATGTCCTGCGTAATCAATTACTTTATGATCATCATGCACACGCTTCTATGCACTTCATTTGTTACAAACAGGCACTGTTACAAACAGAGGTAAAGGCATTCATTTACACTATCATATTGCTTATGTTTATTATACCTTATAATACCGCATGATATATAAAACGTATTTATGTATAAATATAACTGCTTCCATAGTTTCCTTGATAGTTCTTTATATTGAAATAAAAAAGGAGTGAAAAGGAATGGAGAAATGAATAGAGATAGAAGAGGGATGAATAAACATTTTTCCAATAGGTATCTATTCACTCGTCTTCTGTATTTATTCACCATACCTATTCTACTACTACATAAGGATCCGATATGAATTCGATATCCGAGACATGAAAAAAGTAAATACACGACCAATGGATTAAAACTTGAGTACGTGAGTGAATCATCGTCAAATTTTTAAAAACCATTATCAGTTCTTGTCTGACTTGGTGATTGAACCCGAAGTCGTAAGCCTCATATTCTCAGTAGATAACTTTTATTTGCAGTTCGTTCAACTGATGTTGACTTTTTGACTTGTATTGTTTTAGAAATAAACTATTATAAACTGCAAGTTTTTAATTATCGAACCTGTTGTTGCCGTAAATTTTGTATTTAACGTTATTCGTGTGTAGATGTGCAATATGCCCTAGAACTTGTTTATAAAAAAAAATTATCTTATACCTATTATATTATTTTTTAAATTTATTATAGCTATCAATAATATCTTGTCATATACACGTGCACATACAAATGAGTTGAACTTTAATATATGTATTTTATTATTAAATTGTGCTTGAATGAGTGTTTTATTTTCTTTATTTATTCTTGTATATCTTTTAATATTATTTGTTATTGTTATTATGATAAAAAGATAATGTCTTATCCTGATATATTTTTCTATTTTTGTGAAGTCACGTGTAATATAATATTTATCTAGGATTTTTATTACTCAGTTGTGTGCCCTACTTAATTTATTCTTTAGTTAGACTAATAAAATAACCATTTGGTTAATAATAACAAGTAGACCAGTTTTTGACAACAAATGCCTAGCTAATAGTTACCTATATTTTTTATTTATGCTTAATACTATAAAGTTGACGTTGACTTTGGTTGTTTGTGGGAACGCGTTACGAACTACCAAAGAATTAGTATAGATTTTATTAAATATGGATTTATAGAAAATTTTACTTACTTTTCAGTACAGCAGGCATGAGTGACGTGTAGCAAAGGTATACAGTGCTGACGAGAAGGAAGCTTAAATTACTGACGGTCTTCGATCCATCACTACCAGCTTTTTCGTAGAGCAACCCAAGGAGCACACCAATCACCATGTGCATGAACAGCTTGAGGTGTGAGACAGTCTGTTGAAGAAAAACAACTCCTTTAATACCTAACTATTTTATTTATTTTTTATGATGTAGGAGGCAAACGAGCAGACGGATCACCTGATGGTAAGCCATGAGTACCGCCCATGGACACTCATAAGAGTCACAGGTGCGTGGCCGGACCTTCAAAAAGGAATACTCTCTTTTCTTGAAGGTTTGAAGGTCGTATCGGAGTAACGTGTCGTTATTTTACATCGGGGTATGTCATGACTCTAATCATGTAAAAAAATATTAAAGGTCATCCTTTTTAATTGTAATATCGACGTAGAAATACCGAATTTATTGAAATATTGATAAAGAACTACATTTAAATCCAAGATATAAGATGCGTGTCCAACATTTTTGTTACGTTATTTGAAAATTTTGCCTATTAATAGGTTGATATAAGATTTATAAAACAAAGATGTATTGCGAAATATTCCGTTTGAATCGGAAACATTGCAAGTAATTCTATGCAAGTTAATTTTCAGTGTCACCTTAACCTATTAAGTTACTGCAGGTTTTATATCTCGAACGGCCTACTAAAGAGAATTAAAATTAAAGAGTTTATACGATCTGAATATTTGTTTTTATCTCGCAGAGGTTCTTAATTGAATAATTTACATTGCCATTAAGGTAAATCGCTTAATGTGTCACAAAGGACTAGGACTTTTTATACAATTATTGCTAGCATGCAAATAAATATCCATTCGAAGGTCCACTCTTACAAGTCGTAATTACGATTGCATAAATGAATATTCAATATTTATAGTTCTAGAAAATTAACTAATAATTCTAGTAGTTTATTATTTATTAAATGTTGATAGAAAACTATATCTGGCATTTTTAATAAAAATGAAATAATTTTTTGTTTGCATCGAAAACTGTCACATAGAACTGCAATGCCACTGCTCTTGGAAAATTTAGTTTATAGATAACAAAGGCGATTGTACCAATGTTCCTAAGAGAGTCTAGTCTAAGATATTGAGATCTCATGCAAACAAAACTGCAAAAGCTCTTTGGATAAATTCAGCAAATACCGATCACTCGATTTAAATCAATCAATCAATTTAAACAATTGATTTAATTGGAAAAGCCTCCTTTGTAATAAAAATATTTTAAATTAATTAACTAAAAATAGACTCTCTACCACTTGTTATATAGAGACTAGAATAATATGTATATAAAATATATTTTTTTTACTACTACCCTGTGTAAGACTATTGCACTAAAATACAAGAAACTTTTTTTATTATTTTTTACTACAATATTGTTTATAAGTTTTATTGTGGTGTTTTGTATTAGTAGATATAAGTAGATATTATATTATGTGAATAACAATAAAATATATGGGTAATAGGAACATTCTCACAAGTTTACAATGTCTTCAGTTTGCAATGTATTATGAATTCTAAACTTGTATACAATTAAATTAATGTCAATTTTATTCACATCTTGTATATCATAAATGAAGAATGTCAATGGTACAACTTTTTTAGGATTACCTACTTATTTTTACAATTAACATTATTTGTTTGATCATTTTACTCATAAAAACAATGAAATATTATGACGGAATAATGGAATTTATTTTCGGTTATTTCTAAGAAAAAGACAGATATATGGCTACCTACAGCTATAGCTTTTTTAAAATGAGCAATTAAAGATGATGATGTAGCTATAAGCAACCTATTCACTCAAGACTTGAAGAGGAGACTCCCAGATTATTTTAGATTCTACCGAAATATTTACAATAAAAGTACCTATCCCTTTTACTGAATCCATAAAGATAATAATTTATACATGTTGGTATAATCATTTCCAAAACGTCCTTCACGAACAACGTATGCAGAGATCTATATTGAGAATTCTATAAAATTCTCGTAAGACGCATGACGGAAGTTCTTCACTCGATTTTTCAAAAGTCAGACCTTTTACAAGTACTTACGAGGCAGATATTGCAGTGAATATTTAAGAAAAAAGAAATAAATGTTTGAAAATAACCAATAAATCGTTAAGTACTTATATTACTTTGGTTTATCTTAAAGAAAATAAAAGATTGCTCCTGCGTAATAAATTTTAATACTACGTAATATATTATGAGCAATCTAAAAGAGTAGGTAAGTAGGAAGCAATAATTTTAAGCTTGATACGAGCAAACTGAAAAACTAAATTCTTGATAACACATACATTATATTAGTAAAACAATGGGCACGAAGAAGTTTTTATAAAGATTATTTAAATTAGTTTGTTGTACGAGTCTATGTTATCTTTATTCAGCTATTTAAAATAATGTTTTACTTACATCAGAATTTAAAATAAATAAATCGTTGCATATTTATTATATAACGAATTGGAATAGGAATTAAAACACCAAAGTTTTCATTAGTAATAGGAATTGTTGACATACAACGACCATAATAATTTATTTGCGTGTCGTGTGTGGCAAATGCACGTGAGCATATAAACTATAAACGCAAGGTAAATATTATGTAGATAAGTTAACAGCCATAATGTGACGCATTCGTGACATTACTCAACAGGAAAAGGGTCCATAGGTTGGGTGGACAATAGAATAAATAGATCATCATTTAAAGTACATACATCTGTATTAGGGCCGAAAGGACCACGGGATTTGGTCCTTTGGTTCTAGAGTAACATTATTAAATAGGCGACTTGACCATGAATTTATTTGAATGCGAATGATTAATTGTTTGATTTTTAGGGAATTAAACGGATTTAACTTTAAATAAACATTATTATTTATTTATTTATTTATTAACACTTCTGTATAGCAAACATACGATGGCGGACTTAATGCCGGGTGGCATTCTCTAACAGTCAACCATGGGGTGATGCAGAGATGTGCAACAGTAGGCGTATAGGTATAATGGTTTATGTGACACAGAAAAATCTATATAAATAAATTCATGATTATACATAACTGTAAATACATACATATATCCGTATAATAATAATAATAATAATAAGCCCCCCAAAATCCTACCTTACGTCCTGGTTGAACATCTAACCACGTGGGGGGCGGACACGTATACAATTGAAACTTATACGGCTAACAAGGTAAAGGTAACCCATCAATATGGAGACAAGAAATAAAAGATTACGTTTAGGGCCGCTGCCCGAGGATCGTCGGGGCACGTCTGTAGCTGGTGTCAGGCGTGACAGCATGCTAGCCAGTGACTCCCCGCTGGGCGGCTGGGCGGGAGTCGGGGACGCGGGGGGTAGGGGAATGTCCTCAAGGACTACAGCCGAGCTTTCAGATAGCAATAGTAGTAGAGCAACCACACCAGCTGAGGATGTTTCGCAGGAGGCACTTGCCACTCAACCTGCGACCACCAAAGCTGGTAAACCCAGAGTGCGCATGAAATGGAGCGAAGAAATAAACCTATTTATCATGCGCACATATTATTATGTTACCAAACTAGAAACAGATAGAACTATGTATTGCAAAAAACTTCATGACCGTTTTACCTCGAAATACCCAGAATTAAACGTTTCTGCACAAAGAATTGCGGACCAACGAAGAGTAATAATAAGAAATAAACTTTTATCTGACGAAACAATAAAAACCATTAAAACTGAAATAGCCACTCAGCTTGCTGAAGAAACAAATAGTAATAATCTCAATATATTGACATTAAATTCAACAAATCAACATTGTGATGATCAATTAGAACTCACACAAACTTCAACAACTTCATTACATACAACATCAGACCCACCCATCATCTCACATTCTTTAGAAACACACTCCATCACCTCACATTCTTTACACACGCAATCCCATGCATCAACTCAAACCAATCTCTCGAACACATCTATGGAGGCACAACAGTGTAATCCGGAAAGAGGTATTGTGGAAACAAATAATGACACAGACACACACGAACTGTTAAACGCGCTAGAAGCAGCTCTTACAAAATATCAAGGTACTGATCCCACAGCTCGCCCAAAACTACCTAGATTAAAAGAAAACAAAACCCTTTATAAATATGTCGAAATTTTCAATAAATATATATTAAACCGATATTGTTCTATAGATTCTGACATAAGCACAATTCACACGCTTATTTACTGTAGCGCATTAGTAATAAGTGAAAAATTAGGATACAATATAAGAGATAAAGAACATAGTATAAAGTATAAAAAATCACACAAACCAAACTGGCAAATTAGAATTGAATTAGATATTCAGAAACTTAGGGCAAACATAGGTAGAATTACTCAATATGTAAATGGCAACAGGTCAAATAGGCTAGTTCAAAAAGTAGAAGAAATATGTAGTAAAAATAAAGTTCACTCATCACACGAAAGAAACAATATTAGACCGAATGAATTTTTAGACACCTTAAAGCAAAAATTAGCATTAAAATCTCAAAGACTAGCTAGATATGTTAAAGCATTACAGAGAAAACAAGATAATAAACTATTTTCCAATAACGAGAAAAGTTTCTACAGATCTTTTAGACAAGTTTCCGTTCAACCATTAAATGATTTACCTACACAGAGCGACCTTACAAACTACTGGTCTCAAATATGGGAAAACAAGGGAGACCATAACGAACAAGCTTATTGGATAAATGATGAAGAGAACAGGGTAAGCGATATAGAGCCGATGGAATTTAATGACATAACAACAGAGGACATAGGATATATTACAAAAAAAATGAAAAACTGGAAAGCGGCGGGAATAGATAGTGTGCACAACTTCTGGTACAAAAAATTTGTCAGTTTACATAGCACAATAGCTAGAATTATCACAGACCTTATTAAAGGACAACAAGAACTACCTAAATTTATTACGAAGGGAATTACATACATGTTGCCGAAAAGCGATAACACTACAAATCCATCACAATATCGACCTATAACCTGTTTGCCAACTATATATAAGTTAATAACATCTTGTATTGCATTTAAAATCAATAATCACATCACAGTCCACAACATCTTATCAGAAGAACAAAAGGGTTGCA